TGTACTTATTATTTCTCAAGAACAGCAAATCACTTGGAAAATTTTATTTTAAAAGGTCTGGGAGAAGTTTTAGTCATATTCTTTCTGCCCATTCTGGGCATAAATTGTCTGTTCCTGTGCCAATATCACCAAGTACAGCCATCACCAATTGCTCATCATCAAGCAGGTGCTGTTGTGTTGACAATCCATCGTACTCTGGCACATTGAAAAGGCCAACATTTTCAGAACGCTGTCTACAGTCAATGAACTCTATTTTTGCATATATCACAATCTATATAAACTAGTTCATTCGACGTGTTTACCATGTTAATGATGTTCGAGCAGACCAAATACACAAATGCTTTTTGAAGTCTTGAATATAAAAACTAGCATAAAGTATCACAATAATTATTCCAATTAATAACAGTTCCTCGGAGTCCCTTCATGCACACAATTTCTCACTAAATATGAATTCTCACACGTTATTAACACTTTACCAAACATACAATATACTATTCTGTCTACAGCTTTCTTAAGGGAAAGGACAGAGGAAAGAGGTATCTTTAATTGAGAGAATTAAAAAACTACACAAGCAAATTATGTCGGCTGCCTAGAAGAATTGTCGAGGTTAGCTTGAACAAAAATACATGAACGTTTCCTATATTTCCATTGCCAGCCATATTACTTCATACTAGAACCACTTTGCTGAAACGTAAAAGATATAGGTAAAGTAACTAGGCAAATACTGAGAGATTTGGGTTTAATTTCTAGATGGGTTAATCAATCAAACAGCCTAAAATTTTTATAAATTTATCAATTTCTGCACATGCATTTTTGAGATCTAGACAAGACTCAAGAAAGTGAAGAATGTATCTAAGAAAAATGGAGACAAACAAATGCACTACAATTTCAATACGTATGTTTTTATAAAGTTCCTTAAAAACAATAGAACTTCGGAAATATTCAGTGAAACCGAATCAGTTTCACGTTTTCATGACAGTTTGCAAAGGAAACTACAAAGTTACTTAATGTATAGATTTAACATTTCATATTTCAAGCTTGCTTGAACTTATCATATAAGTGATTTATGAACTCAAAACTTATTATAAAAAAGATTTGGAACATCAATACAAAAACCAGAACATGAGTTCTGAGGAGGAAATATGCTTAAATGTGTAAACATAAGCTTCCATGGTTCGAGTTCATGACTTTTTGGCTGTCTGGGTAACACTGTGTCATTGACCGAGAGGCCAACGTTTCCCCTGTGACGTCACTGGCTTCCTGAGGAAGCATCGCGACATGACAGATGCAAGGCCAGCCTCTCAGCCAATGACACAGATAGCCAAAAAGTCATGCTTAAATGTGGTACTTTTTATATCTGACACACAATTTAGCTTTGTGAAAGGCAGATGCCACAGGGCAATGTATAGGACACACATTGAGAAAACCTACAGGGGCAACATAAAGACAAGCTTTAGAATGGAACCTGCAGGGATGAGTTGCAGGAAGACCAAGAAGAAGACTGGAAAATCATGTAGGGAAATTGAAGGAATAGCTGTTAATAGAATTAGATGCTGTATGAAATTAAGGGACAACCTGGATTCATATGCAGACTTCATAATTAATGCATTTAGAGCCAAACGTCATGTTGACAGTATATGTACTGATTTCAGTACATCAACTTGAGTGACACTTATCCCAAACCTTCATTGTTTTCATATTATTTCTCTTCAACAAAGGTTTATTATCTATATTATAAAATCAAATAAGTGCAAGTGAAATATATTTTGAAATTACACATATCAAAGGGAAAGTATTACGAGGTCAATGTTGGGTCTAGGATATGTCCGCTAGATGACAAATTTCACAAAATAAATTAAACATACTAATATATAATTTTACAAAATAACTTAATTATAAGTAACATCAATTCTAAAAGGCAGGGGGCTGATTTTAATAAAACGATTTTTTTTTTCCGCTTTAAAATAATGCCATTTAGTATATAAATTAATTTTATGTTATGACAATAGAAAATGACTGATTTTTATAGGTCTCTTTTTGCATTTTTCGTCAATTTCTATTAATAAGTAATTTTTTCCTGCTTACATAATTTTTAATGCATTCTTCACTGGTTTTATAGATTTTAATATCACTTTAATGATACTTACTTTAAATAACATTTACGAGATGCAACAAATGTTCTCCAAAGAATTCCTGAGAAGCTTATACAATTTCTTCGCTCAGCAATTCTAATACCAGCAATTTGAGTACATAATCTAAGGTTCCTGTGACGCCTATCAGCACCATTATCGGTTCAGCAGATTTCAGGATAACTAAAGACAGAGATTTCCCGGTAAAGAACTGTCTAAACTAAAAGTTTTAAAGCTGAGTTCACATGAACAAATTAGAAGCAGCCTCGATTACATCAGTAACGTTTCCAACAGCTTCAGCTGCTCATCCTAAACAATTTTCACCACATTTTTTACATAATTTTTCTTTAGTTTTAGGGCATTTTGCAAACATTGTAAGAGCATTTTATTGAACATTAGTTCATCCAAATCCATCCCCTACTGATAAGTGAAATTCCTCTCTCTATATTGCACACAACCCCATAAGTGTATTACTACTGAAAAGGAAATTACCACCAGTCCTACAACAAAGAGATTAAAAACAAAGAAAAAGTTTGTAGAGTAGGATAATAATTGGGAAATCTGCAATCAAAGTTCTGCAACACATTTTATCATTGCGCAAAACTTGCAAATTACATGTCGTAGGAACTTAAAACCATGTTTTAGTTGAGTTATGCTGTCATCTACAAAATTAGACCTTTTTTGATATTCTCTTAGGTTTTTGGAAGGTTCCCCCACTCCATGACAATTGCCAGGAACACCAGGATGCTGGGTGAAGCTATTTTCACTTTTAAGACAATGATTTTTAAAAAATTGATGTTTGGAGATAATAAGTTTTTGCAAAAAATCTTTTTGCATTTCAATTACTATTTACAGGTTACAGCTTGCTATTGTGGGGTGGGTACTACTCTAACTATTCAGAACTTTCCATTTCGTTTGGCACTGACTATCCATCCCCGTGATGTTTATAAAATTATTTTGTAAATAAATAAATAAAATATATTTTTGAATGTACAGTTTAAAGTTAAATTTCTATAATAACACACAGTGAACTGTGAGGAGGAACAGGTGGAAGAATGTGTAGTGGAACATGTGAGAAAGCATGGAGAAGATCTTATGAGGAATATGTGGGGAAACCCTTACACAGAAAATGTGTGAAGGTACTGTATGTGTGGGAAACACATTGAGAGAATGTGGTGGAACACAAAGGAACTCATGAAGCACCATGTGGAGAATCTGCAGGAAATAATTCTTCAAAAAGTTTAAAGAATAAATTTGGAGCCATTTTTGAGAAAATGCCACTTGAGCATTTCTGAAAATATGCAATTTAGAGTTCATATTCACAGAAAAGTTTCAATATTTCTAGAACTGCATTTGAACCATCTGTATTCACAAATACAGTAATGTACAAAAATGTCCGTAAATATTATTAACACGATATATATTTTTAAAAATTCCTTTAGGTAATTTTTGAAAGATTAAAGCAATACATCAAAATGGCATGATATACTGTGCATTTAGTATTATCTATACAAAACGTTTAAAGGAAAAAGTTGACAAAAAATTTAAAGGAAAATGTTGGAGCAGTTTTTGAGAAAAAGAGAACAGCCTAAAAATAAATGGAAAGATGATGTCAAATACTTCAGGAAAATGAAGATTGAGAATTGGATCAAGCACTCAAAGAATAGGAGAAAATGGAAAAGGATAGTTGAGCAGGCCAAGACATTCATTCAAAGTTCTAGAGCCGAAAAAGATGAAAATAAAGGTTTTGAGGAAAATCATCTTTTTAATATTGACTGTATATCATTCAAAACTGTTTGACATTAATGATATAATCAAAAGAATTCTTTAAATTTTGGGGATACTTCACATAAAGATTTGTTGAAAAGAATTTCCTTAAGTAATTATTGAAAAATCAAAAAATACCTTAAAACAGCACTTATGACATAATATACAGTGCATTTAGTACTATCTATACAAAAAATTTTAAGGAAAAATTTGGAGCTTTTTTTGAGAAAAAGACCAGGAGAAGAGATCCTCCCCCACCCCTCAGACATTTTCAAAATTCTCAAAAATTATGTAAAAAGAAAAGGTTCTTGATAATAATTCAAGTACTACTTGCAGAGAACAAAAATCACTACATAAAAAAATCAATAATGTAGTTGTGCGAGAAGGGCAAATAATTTTTAAACTACTTCAATTTTCAAAAGTTCAGAGTTAATAGTAAAAGCGGAACTTACACCATCTTAAATATATGTCAATCTTTGTGCAAGAAATTCTTGTTTCAAATTTCAAGCATGTTATGGAGGGGGGATGTAAATTACCCCCAAAATTTAAAGAATTCTTCACAGACTTTAAGTCAAATCAATTGGGAAATATTCATCATTACAAAAATCCTAAGAGTTGTTTAGGCACTAGTATTGGTTACAGACAGACGGAAGTTTTGAAATAAACCACATTTTGTTATCTTGGGGGCCCCATAAGTGTATTTCTATTGAAACAGATTTTCCACAGCATTACATAACTTTCTCTGTATCAGGTATAATACTCCATATTCGCTAACACACAAGAAAGTGGAAACCACAGTATATTGCTTTTCATTGAAAACTGAAATAAAAGCATTCTGTTTAGAGAAAAAAAGTTTTTTCCAAAGAGAGATATTATAATATTCATAAGTACAATTTTGGACAACTCCTATCCTATTAAAAATGCAAACCTAACCCAGTAATATTTTGCACTCTCAGGAATTAAATGTAAATTTTCGCTCTCCTATTTTTTGTAAGAATAATATATTTGTGAGGTCATCCTTATGGCCTGAGTCTTGCCATTTACACATATTCAACATCTCTTGCTTGGAAAATACACTATATCTCTTCAATTGAACTGACTTACCTCCTGCATATATAGATGTCCAATGGCGGGCTGTTTGCTTGAACATATCTTGATTTTCTTTAAATTGTTTGGCAACTACCGCATCCTGTGGGTCATCTGGCTCAGCAGCTGCCAAAAGGGCTTGCAATGACAGAAGTACTGTTCGCAACGTCATCGCAGCTGCCCTAAAATGCCACGAAAATAACATTAATTGATTACAGAATCAAAGATGAAATAGATCACAGAAAAAACAAACAAGTCAATCCTTGTCAAGGACAGGACCAGAACTTCATGTTATATAATCACTTTCATTTCGTATACCTACAACTAAACCTATCATTAATAAACAAGGTTTTTTTTTTTTTTTTATTTTAACAAAATTTTTCATTTCTAAATGTACTTAAAGCCTACAAACAATCATTTCTCACATTTCTGAAAATAAACTATCATGAATACAAAGAGAATGGTTAATTTTGTTTATATTTAAGTTTTCAAAAAAATGATTGAACGATAAGAAATGTATGTTATTTGCTTTTAGTTCAGTAATCAATTTGTGCTATAAAACAAAAACAGACAGCAATAATAACTTACCTATTAAAATTCACCAAAATAAAGTAATAACACAACATGTTAAATTGGAAGTGGGGTATTCAAGAAAACGTAAGCAGAGAAACAATGTAAACTTAGTAGGATCTGAGTAACAAACCTAGTTTTCTATAATGCCAGATTTATTTGATGTCAATTCTACTATTAACCATTAAATATAACCTTAAACGGTGTCATTACAAAAGTTAAAAATACCTTTTATTTCTAATTTTAATATTTAATGTTTTTGAATTCTGTCTATGGCACAGAGTTATTTCTCAGTAAAGATGTAAAATTTCTTATCAACATGTATGTGCATTAAAGAAACATCTGCCAAGACTATCACAGAAAAAACAGTTGCAGCAATCCTTCTAAAATGGTATATAGACAACCCGTTTATTTAGAATATGATCAAAGTTTTAGAGAATTCAGCACTTTGTCTTGTATATCTTCATGACTCCAATACACAAGATAGTACTTGCCATTACTGTTCTAGCAAATACCATACTTCCTAAACTTGGCTTTGGTACAACAGTTTTTAGAATAAAAATATTTAAAACCATGATAAACAATAAAGAAGGAATAATTTTCTGTTATTCAGTGCTCAAGGAAAGTGCAAAAGCAAAAAATTAATCTTGTTAATAGTGATTATATAAATGCTAGTTAAATTTTATTTCTCTATATTGTTTTATAATGCCTGGAAAATCTTTGCATGTAAACTAAGCGATAACTATCTTAATTATTTCAACAAATGATCTTTAACTGTACATATGTAAACACTGTTTATTTTTGAAAGAATTTCCACAATGTTAAAAACCAGCACTTCAAAATCAATGACAATTAAATTGGAAAAAAAAGAACCAACACTTTATTCTTCTTTTTCTAAGATATACAAAATATTTTCTTCCATGAACTAATACTTAGAAATACTCACCACTGATCCTTTAAAATGTCCAAGCATATTGCACCTGTTACAGATGAAATATTTGGATGCCAAATTTTAGTAATAAATCGAACCTAGAAGAAAGATATTTTCTAGAGATTTATATTGACAAAGCACAACAGCATAATGATTAAGGCAAAACAAAATAAGAACACGAATAAATTGTGACAAAGACAGAGGCGACTATTCCTTCATGTTCAGAAACTTTAAAGACTAAGAAATTTTAAAGTTTACTCTATATTTTTAAATTAAAATGTATAATACTCTGGTTCTGTCATATTTTTAAAAATTTAATAAATGATTTTAATTTTCTTATTATTAGTTTTTCTAATATAAAATTAAAAATGGACTCTGATAATAATCGAATTTGCACATTTCAATAAAAGATCTGAAATCTCGCCATTGCTGAAAGAGCAACAAAAATGATAGATTACCTTTGGTGGATTGAAAGGATAAGTTTCAGGAACTTTTATTTCCAATACAAAGGTTCCACCTTCATATGGTGTTTCCGGAGGGCCAGCAATCTCTCCCTTAAGTTCTGTGTAATTATCATTAACTAGTTCAACTTTTATAGCACATTTTGCTACCTACAACAAACATTAAAACTTCTTGATTTATCTTTCTTCTATACATTATTGTTTAAAAACTAAGGAAAAACCTATGAATGTCTACATGGATCAGTTTATTTTAAGCACTCCAAATAAACATCTATTAATGAAATATTATTTTCTCTGAAATGTTGCTAAACACTGATGAATTGAGAATTTACAATGTATATCTTCAGAATATCAAAATTGCCAAATAAAAATTGATTGCGAAAATGAGACAAAAATAATTTGTTAAAGAGAAAAATCTCAATGGGTAATTTAATAAATAAATTTTCCAAAAGTTAAATTCAGTTCAATAAATGGTCTATTGTTTCATGATCATAAAAGGAGTAAATTAATATTGAGAATTTCTGAAGAAAATAATTTCACTCAATTTACAATATCTTTTATGAACCAGGAAAGGTTCATCATAGTAACAGCCCACATTAATGCCAAAATGATGTAAATGGCATATGAATGCGTCAGAAATGAATTGACATCATAGTTTCATAATTCTTTAGTAACACACCATGTTATCAGTGACCTTAAACCCCTTCTTCAGCAAAGCATCACATATTATGTCAGTTCTTACAAAATGTATTTCATAAAAAAATATCAAAGATCTATAAATTGGCTACATCTCTTATTCTTGAAGTATGGATGAACAGGGTATGTATAATCTTAATTTTTATCTTGACTGACAATTTAACATTCTCCTGACTGACTTCTCAAAATCATCTCTTATTAACCAATGCACCAAACTGAAAAATTCTTACAGGTTATTAATAATTATATAAAGTTCTGCTTTAAATATTAACAAATTGTTTTCATTTTGTATTGGACTAATAAATAATTAACATATTTACAACACAAAAATCTTAATAAAATTACCGAATTTTGACAGACGACTAAAGTAAAAAAACAAGAGAACATGTCAAAATAAATCAGATACAATGTTTATAATAATAATTCAATTTTACTTGAACCTTAATTTTTGTTTCAAATTATAAGTGTGCTTTCCTCGTTTATCTTAAAATCTAGAAATTAAGAAAAATAAATACGGGTCGAATGCTTTACAACGTATGATGCGTTTCCGTGAGCAGATCTATTTTGAAGCATGGAAGCCGCATGCACACCGTTGATATTTGCTACTTTGGTAGCAGGCTGACTATAAACTAAATACAATTGTCGGGCAGCAAACTAATATACTTCATAGAGATCATCTGGATTCGAATATTTTTCATGGTAATTTTTCGAAAAAGTGTATACCTCTTCGCTTTTGATAACCTCCTTAAATTCTCGTTTGATTCTTTGAGCTGCTATGTTTGCCATGGCTGCACTTTATGGTCTTCTTTAACACATATCTTAAATTTAATGTTAAAACACAAACAATTTTAGGCACGCTTCCCATTCAGTTCACGGGTTTCCCAACACGAATTTAACTTTTCTTACACAGCATTTCACAGCTGCACAATACAACACCGCTTCCTGAATCGTTACCGTCTGATCAAAGGGATGTAATTAACCGGGAATCAAGCAAGCTACGATCAAAATGTAAAGTAAAACCTATTTTAAAATAAAAAGCTGGTGATAAAATAACATAATGTTTAAGTTTAACTTTTGTGGTATAAATATAATTATTTTTGAAATAGCAAAGATTAGTCAATCTAGTTTGACCAGTTCAAGTCACCACGATCAGGCTGCCTACCCACATCATGGGTGGAGAACGAGAATGGGATCTCTGAGAAAGGAAGTGATGTAAATCTCATTCCGCTAAACAGTGATTGGTCACGTGCTTGCTTACAGTAATGCCCGTCTTGTCGGATCCAGTACGTGCCAAGAGTTTGATCCGAGCGAACTTAGAAAGGCCAAGCGTTCATCTTCGCAGCAGAATGCCAAACATAAAAGTTTTTAGCGGGACTTCTCATCCCGACCTCGCGCAAAGAATTGTTGATAGATTGGGAATAGATCTTGGAAAGGTTGTAACAAAAAAGTTCAGCAACTTGGAGACCTGGTAAGTTTGATTTATTTCCATTTGTAGATGTTTTGTTTCTTTTCCAATTTGGGTTGCGATATATATTCGAGTTTCCTTCCTTGTTTATACATTTCATAAATGTTTCCAATCAGGATTCAACTATTGAGTTAACATTTCTTTACATTTTATTTGGACGCCGGGTGAAAAAAATCTCGTTTGTACTTTATTTTCTTCATAAATGTATTTGTAATATATTTAATTTAGCGATCGTTTTGACGGCGTTGCTATTTTTCCTTAGCTTTAAACTATATTTTTCTATGGCCAAGGAGACTATTGACTTGCTTTATTTTTGTTGATTTTGTTAACAATTTGTTTTTTCAACTTCTTCTTTGGATCTAAAAGATAACTATAATTTTTTAGTGTGGAAATTGGAGAGAGTGTTCGTGGGGAAGATGTTTATATTGTGCAAAGTGGCAGTGGAGAAGTAAATGATAATTTGATGGAACTTCTTATTATGATAAATGCCTGCAAAATCGCATCAGCTTCTCGAGTGACTGCAGTTATACCTTGTTTTCCATATGCTAGGCAGGACAAAAAAGATAAGGTGAGTAGTTTTTCATTTGGGTATTACCTATTGAAAGAAGTCTTGCTGTCATTTATGTGATAGAATATTGTATGTTATCCTTCTGTCACGTTATCCTTCTGTAACATCTGTAAAGTATTACATATGTTAAACACTTTTTGGAATTTGAAGAATCTACTATGATTTTAAACTTCAATTTTTAAGTTGGTTATTTCTTGATATCATAGTTATGTAAAAATGTCATTTTGTTGTATAATAGTATCTTAGATATAGATATGCTGTTTAAAAATGAATGTTTTACAGATAGAAGTTGCATAATCTACAGTAGAAGAAAATTAGTATAGTGTGGGTTTCGAATTGTCTATACAATTGAGTATTTTTGAGTGTACAATTAAGTATTTAGTGTTTGTTAAACAAATAAGTTTTAGCTGTATGATCAGTAGGGCCTGGATTTGTAGATTTTGATCCATTTACTCTTATAATCATTATTTTAATATGTATATTGATTTCAATAATTTTTTATTCAAATGTGTGAATCCAGTTGAAAATTATCATCTTTATTTGGGTTGATTAGAATTGGTGGGTGGAATGCAGCATGAAATGACATTAATGGACCCGTAAAAATTCATCTCCTGATGGTCACATACATTAAAATGGATGTCACTTATCCTGTTTCATTGAGGATATATTTCAATTAGTATGTGAAAATATTAATAGATATTTTTTTAAATTTAATATGTAATAGTAAAATTTCATTTTCTACATTTGTAATATATAGGAGTATTTCTCGAAATCTTAAAATTATTTCAGATATATCAGTTCAAAAAAGGGCAGAGAAGAAGAGAGCCCTGAAATATTATTTAATTTGAAGAAAAGATGTTAATTATATTAGTTTAGAGATTATGCAGCTTACACATAATTTTTAGTACAATTCACTGCCATTGCATTTAACATTTAGGGAGAGGTAATTGCAGTATGTGTCAATTTATTTTTATGTGGTGTACGATAATTCAGTGATTCTGACATGCAGAATTTTTCCTTGCTAAAGTGAAGCATGTTGCACATAGGTCTGATGCTAGACAACACATTGTTTTGTATTATAGATAATGACAACATTATTTCAAAGAGTAAATCTAATCACTGTTTTGTGTGTAGTTTATGCAGCTATTTCATCTACCATTTTTCTGTTGGGTCAACTACAAGTATTTCAAACTGTTTCGTTGAAAGGCAGGTTTCATTTTAAGGTGAATGAAACTTGTCTTGAATTTTTTGCGATGTTGCCAGAAAATAGCCACCCAAATAAAATGATTCAAGTGAATTTTCATGTGATATAATAAAGTTGGCAAAATGAATGGAGCCACAATTTGATCAGTCAGATGGATATTTACATTCTTGTGTTGCATTTAAAATTTAGATAATTAAATTAAATTTTGTGGTGTGGTAAGTAATTTCTGGCCCAACTTATAGATATTTTCTTTTTCAGAAAAGAAAAAAAATTCACACCTACTCCCCAAGCTATTTATTAACAAAAGCAATCCTTTCAAACTTGAAAACGGATTGGTTATATTATTCTTGTGTTCTGTACCTGGCAAATTCATTTTATTTCTATAAATATAACAGGCCCACCTCTTCATCATTGTATCTCCCTGTGAGGGTCTAAGGAAGAAATGAAATGGTCAAGTTCAAACAATTATTTGTGATATTTTTCTTACTGCTTTAACCCTTTTAAATGTTTACCATTGTTCAGACATGCAATCTTACTAAAAAGTAGATCTAAGAAATAGTTTTTAATGTTAATTTTTTCTTTGTACCAAAGAGGCTTGGTTGTTTAGTATTTGAAGCATAGTAAAGAGCTAGTTAATTTAGGTGTGGTGGAACCACGAAAAAAGAAAAAAACAGCATATTTTGTGAAATCTGAACTTTCTCATGATCATAACAGCATCATAATCATTGCATCCCAATATGCGAGTTGTTTTTTTTTTTTTTTTGGAGGGGGGGGGGCTGCTTTAATTCCCATTTTTACGTAAAATGATTTGAACTCTTCATTTCTGAATTCTCGTGTTTCTGCTACAAGTATTTCTCTAACTACACCCTACACCTATGAAAGTGTTAAGGTAATTGTAACAGTGGCCATAACAAGTATTAGGAATAAGGGTAATTGATAAGGATGGATTGCTTGTACAACTGTCACTAAATAACTAATTTGTAGGTGAACTTTGCTAGTGTAATCTCTAAAATGTGATGTTTAAATATCCATTGTATGGTGTGTTTTACTATTAAAAATATTACCTAAATATTTTCTTTGTGCACTTTCAAGCAGACATCAATGTTCATCTAAACTCAATCCATCATTGACTTCTTTTTTTGCAAGGCAGTTGTTAGAGATGGAGTGTCCAGAACTTATATTTCTTAGCAGTTTGTTGTTAATGCAGACATTGACTTTGTGACCTCACAGACTGGAGCTGACGAAGGCGGGGCTCCCACCCCTATCCTGAAGTCCAACGAGTGGAAATTTCGGGTAATTTTAACTGCTAATTTGTTTCATTTTTATCCTGGTTTCCACAGGACTTACATGGATAGACACAGCAGAAGCAGAGTTCGATTTGTATTATCCGTAGTAAATGTGTATATGGATGAACTCTTCAGTTCTCATTGTGTTGGCCTAGTTGGGAATTTCACTGAAAAAATTGTTAGAATTGTCACAATTCCTCCAGGAATCCTCCAGGGAGGTATTTAATTATATTTCACTTTTAATTTCTCTGAGACATCCTTATGCATAGGCTTAAGTATGCATGCAAAGGCAAAAATCAAATCGAACTCTTTTAAGAGGAGGCATAAGACAGCGAGTAACTATACAAAATTTTCAGACTGGAAATCTAATTTCCACTTACGCAAGTTATAATTGCGGCAATTTGTGGCCAGTTATTTTGATCTTGTTTTTATTCTTTTCATCTCTCCTCTTGACGTCACATTTCTAGAAGTTTATCTCATCAGCTTAAAGGTCCAAAGGGTATCACAATGTTGGTTGCCTGTTGGGTCAAAGTCGCGTAATTGTGGGGTGCTTGACAACAGCATGCAATGGACTGTCGGTTTGCTTGGAGATTGTTTCGGGGAAATGTCTGTTTGTTGCTAATTTAGCTGTCAAATAATATGGTAAAATTCAATGTTGCTGAGATGTAGGCATTATATAAATATAAGTTTTTTGTTTGGGCGTGTACATTGTAGATATGCCATCAGAGTGAGGCCATAGGTCATGACACTTTTCTTAGGCAATGATTTTAATCTTTCTCAAAAGTTGTAACAGCTTATTAAGTAATGGGATTTGCTTTATAGCATTTACTTTCACATTTCAAGCTAAATTTTGGTTTTATTATTGGGTTAGCTTTTTTATCCCTTAATCAAATATGTATTGTTCTTTAGTTACAGTTTGTTCACTCCCTCATTAATGGCAAAAATAAACATAAAGTGGTTATTACTTTAACTTTTGCAGCTCTGGGCAGACCATTTATTTTTGTGATGAATTTTCAGGATTTTGCTCCTGTTCTAACTGCAGTGAGTATCTGATGATCCCAGTGTGATAATAAGAGTACAATCTTTGAAGTCATCCCTGCAGTATTTATCAATCAGTAAACTTAGTGCATTTTATATCATGATTGCTACTTATTCTGTAATGTACTAACTTTTGTGCCTTTTTTCCAGTATTTTAATATTCCTGACTGAGCCAATCACAATAATGTGTGGACATTAACTTACTGGCATCACCATAAGGCGGAATGTTTCATGTCAGTAGTGTTGAGCGTTCTGCATGTACTGTTTGGGCTAACATGATTGAAAGAAGACACTGATGTTGAATTTTATATTTGTGGTCTATGTGCAAAGAACTAAAATTAGCATGTTCTGTGTGCTTATGTTGATTGTAAGAACATCATTGTGCTGAATAATGTTTTTAAACAACCAAGGAAGAAATCTGCTTGTTATGGATACTCTTATCATGCAAGTCATGAAAGTATAAATTTAAATTTAAAGGCATTTGTGGTACTTGATGAATTCTTAATTCAAGATTTATGTTTGAAGTTTTGGAGACTTGTCATGAGGATGCTTGTTGCCTGTTGTAGGTTTTTTGTTCTGTTTCCCTCTTTTTTTTTTCTTTTTTTATTATTTCTGCTTACACTTACACGATCGACTAACTGGGGTGCATTTGCAACACTACACTGATGCACTTTTTACATCCGTGTCATCTTTGTGGATTCTCTCTGGCTGCTATTTTACTTTTGTGGCAATGTTTTGTCATTCCTTACAGATAAAATTGTTCCCCAAATATATCTATCAGTGTTTGTTAGGTCCTAGACCCTCCGCTGATTTCTGAATCACTCTGCAGGGAAGGGCCGGTCTGAAACATCTTATGGATACTTTTTCAATTTGTTATATGCAAGTCTAGCGTTGCAAATGGACCTTCACAAAACATAATATAACATCACGTCATCTCGTGTGTCCTTTTGACAGAGTCGGGCACCTATATCTGCGAAGTTGGTTGCAAATATGTTGTCTGTGGCTGGAGCAGACCACATAATCACAATGGATCTTCATGCATCCCAAATTCAGGGTTTTTTTGATATACCCGTTGATAACTTGTATGCAGAGCCAGCAGTATTGAAGTGGATCAAAGAGAACATTCCAGAATGGCGTAACAGTATAATAGTATCGCCAGATGCTGGTGGTGCGAAAAGGTACATTTTAAACAAATTAAATTGTACTGCAGAGATAAAATTAAATTCATTTGAAATAATTATTTTCTGATGTTTTCAGAGTGACTTCTATTGCTGATCGTCTGAACGTTGAGTTTGCTCTCATCCACAAGGAGCGGAAGAAGGCCAATGAAGTTGCTGCAATGGTCTTAGTTGGTGATGTTAAGGATAGAGTGGCAATTTTAGTAGATGATATGGCCGACACATGCGGCACAATATGTCATGCTGCTGAGAAGTTAGTTTCCTCCTCCATTTCACAAAAGAATCTCATGAAAGCATTGTGTACACCAGGCCTGCCCAACTATCCTGCTCTCAGAAGAACCTGAGTGGCAAAGGGGGTTTTGACAGAGAGCACTCAGGAACTTATGGCTGTGCGTGAACCTGTTCCAAGTTCCCTCCGAAACTTATTTGGTTGCCAAGTAATGTCCATCCCTTCCCAGACTTTGATTATGCATTTGCGTGTATGCATCAAGTCCGCTGATACTTGGTCAGTTATTAGCTGTCATCAAATTTGGAGCTTGAATTTCACTGTCGTGGTTTTTTGAGACAACTGACAAATGTTTTAATTAGTATAGTTGGTGAATGAATTTTTATACTCGTGAGAAGCAAGCCACTTGTGGCAGCTCAGTGAGCCACTAACTTGAGTAGGCCTGGTGTAAATGAAATTTTAGTACAATGTATTAATCCAGAATGTGGTAGTGGCAAGTTCTCTAATCATTGATTGCTAGTAAACATTTGCATAATTTTGTCTTCGAGGGTCATGTACTAGTCTGAATTCTCTATGAATCCTGCTAATAATTAATATTTTTGTTTTTAAAGGTTATTAGAAGCTGGTGCCACAAAAGTGTATGCAATCTTGACTCATGGCATTTTCTCTGGCCCAGCAATTTCAAGAATCAATTATGCATGTTTTGAAGCTGTTGTGGTAACAAATACAATCCCTCAAGAACAACACATGAAAGATTGTCCCAAGATTCAGGTAAAATTTTGCTTGGTGCTTCTTTTTTTAGTATTTAATTGAAAACTAACCATGCTAATTTACTTCTTGCGTTTCCAGTGCATTGATGTATCAATGATGTTTGCGGAGGCAGTGAGGCGCACCCACAATGGAGAATCTGTTTCTTACTTATTTTCTAATGTACCATATTAAGATCTTATTTTGTATCTTTCCAATATAATTAAATGTACACATGCCTATATTTGCAATGTATGTATGCAGTGTTCTAGTTATTTGTCATACATGTACGCAAGTGGGGGCTTGCAACTGAATCTCTTCTGCCATGATAAAATTAATAATACAGTAAAGCCTGTGTGAGGCAGAAACCTGCTTTGGCTCAGAGAAAAAAAATTCCAGAATGGGCACAATATGCAAAGAACAAGGAAAAAAACAAATATTGCTTTAAAATGAAACATTGACTCTTAGTGTCACAACATTATACCATGAGAGACTCAGAGCTACCCTCATCCGAAAGCAGATACATATATATTTGTAATAGTACTGACCTTCACATGCGTGAATGGGTGCAAAGAAACAACTTCCACAGTTTTTGTGATGTGAGCTTTGGGTCAGGTGGTAAATTAATATATTAACTGTTGAGTAAATTAGACAAATTGAAAAACAAGAACAATGCAACACTTCTGAGAAAGGAATTTTTTGTGGTTGCCACAAAGGACCTAGAAAAATAGCCGAAGCCTAAATCAATTTACTTCTTTATGGGATGCCATCCTGGCTTAGACAGGTTTTACTGTACTTGTTTGATGGATGTATTGCAATATTGAAAACCTGTTGCATACCTCCATCTTAATGTTGCTCATAAGGAAACTGGCAGCTGCATGTGTCTACTTACATTGTAACCTCTATCAGGCATTGTTGAGTGCATGTCATTTAAACCTGTTAGAACAGAAATTAATTTTCTGAAAAATCAGTGATATTATATTGACTGGATCCTTCAGTGCATTGTTTTTGCACAATTTGTTCTGTCATGAGTAGTACAAAAAGTTTAACAATGCTTGTTTATTAAAGGAATAATATAGTAAAATAAGTTTCTATTATAAGTACAGAGTATTTTTCATAGCCTTTATTCTGGGCTTGGTTTATTGCATGCACAATACTGTAAGTTGCTGCTCAGCTAGTATGCCTGCAGTATTTGGTTTTTTACACTTACCATTTTGTCAGAAAATCTTATTTGTACTGATAGAATATTTGCTCACTAGAATTTACTCCATAAAGTATTGTTATTCGAAATAAAACTTTTTTTATACATATCTTGTATTGCACAACCTGGTATTTCTGCCAATAAGTCCTTAAATTATTTCTTTCATTTATGTCTTCTTAGTACCAGCTGGTAGAGAGACATCAAAAACCACTGGTGGATTTCTTGGCAAGTAATTAATATTGCATGTGGATGCATTTATATATATTATTTGTCCATCTGATGATACCCCATATCCTGAAAAGAAAATGGCATATATTTATTTATGTCTCATGTTTTCTCCAGAGCCACTCGAGTAATTTCATTACGAAAGCAAGAAAATTAAGAATTTTAGTACACTATTTTTCTGGGATCTGGAAATATTACAAAGTGATTTTGCTTCAAGACCAGTGTAAACCTTGTTATTTGTTTTGTTATCCACTGCACACTGCAAGTAAATATTAAGATTCCTCTGCAACTAGCTGATTATAATATAGTTCCCTACATTTCAGCCTCACGTCAAATAACACCAATGCCTGTCTTCACGGTGGAATATCTCATGGCATTTCGCATCTTTTTAGGTCGCACAGATACGGTTCGCCATTTGCGGCACATCCGCGAAATGACGTGATATATTCCATCGCGAAGACAGGTAAAGTATTGCACGCTTGCTTTTAAATTGGGAATAATCCAGATGTTAGTGATGTGAACCTAAGGGTATGCACGAGTACCTACGCCAATATAATTGTACCGTCATACAGGTAAGGCTTTTCTTTCTCCCATTCATCGAAATGTTCTTCCAAAATTTACTCTTCTGTGAAAATCGGCACAATGCCCACCCTGGAGGACGGGGTTTGTTATTAGGATATTGTAGTTTCTCTTCCTACATTTCCAAAATCCGCTGTTCGACTTCTTAAATAAATTCTCACCATTTCAAAGCGTGTGATACGTGTTCTCGCGTCAGAGTATTATGAAGGATCAACAGGTCGGCGAGAGGGGTTGAAGTTGTTCACTATTCTGCTGTCTCTTTGCGGTATCCCGTAACTGGCGAGTTATTTACATTTGTGGATATCTGTTTATCCCGTACGGTGACAAATTATCGCTCTTACCACACGTTTTCAGGGAGTGGGACTGTATTAATAAGGGAAAAGCACAATGAGATTTTAATAATTCCAACATTTTGTTGAATGTACAGAGGTTTGTCCCAGAAGTAGTGCAAATTTCGTCCAGATAGTGAATGATGGCTTTATCCATGATAGAAGCACAGAACGTTCTTTTTCTGGAAGTAACAACCTGCTTGTGTCTAACAGTATCGATTCCATCTCATCATCAGCATCCAGTGCTTCATCCTCTCGCAGTAGTAACAGCTGCAGTGAATCTTCTGAAGACTGTGACGATTCAATTTGTGATACCACGTACATACCGCAAGAAGAAAGCGAGTCTGATAGTAATGTAAGCGAACAAGTCCAAGATGCATCAATTGCCTATAACACAGCTTCAGAGAGAGGGGCTACTTCCGCACCTAGCATACCATAAATGTAACTTCAAATTACCTTCTCCCCATAACACGTCACACAGTTTTTAACTGTTTTTGGCGTAAATAAATAAACATCGTCGAGGAAACGCAAATTTTGACGAGTCCACTAAAGAAGGGTCTGAAACGTAAACGTAATGTAGAAAAATGGCGCAGGAACGTATTGAAAGATGCCAGAAACTCTGGCAAGGAATACGAAAGGCGAACAAAAGATAAAAGAGTAAGGGAAGAGAGAAAAATGAAGCCTCCGTGTTCAGGTAAATGTAGGCTAAAATGCTCATCAAAGTTAAGTGAAGACAGTTTGAATCTGTTTTCTGAATACTGGCCTTTGGGCAAAATTGATAAGCAGCGACAATTCATTAACACCAGTATGAAGGAGATCAAGCCCGCATGTCGGTATGTGCGTGTTGGCCGCAAGAGACAACGAAGAAATATTATGGAGTTTTATTTTAATCAAAATGACAAACTTGTGATGGTCTGCAAGCTATTCTTCACGAATACTTTTGACATAAATAGTCGTACTATAGTACGGTGGTGGAGAAACAAAATAAGGTTGTGAATGTTTTTATGGAAGGAGATAGGCGTGGGAAGCATGGTAAACAGACAATGATTGACGAAAGTATAAAAGAAGGAATTAGAAAATTCATTCATTCTATACCAAAGATTAAGAGCCACTAAACCGGAGCAAATTCATCCAGATACTTCATTGATGGGAGTAATACCATTTCAGAAATTCATAAAGATTACTTGGCACACTGTCGGGAAAATAATGTTGAATATGGGAACTATACATTGTTTTTATCGTTTGTTTACCACTCAGTTTAACATTTCATTTTTTGTGTCAAAAAAAAAAAATATCAATGTAGTCTCTGGACAGCATACGGCAATGCTGAAGAAGAAAAAAAGTACAGTAAACACTTAGCAGAAACACTGAACTCTGTCGTGCTGAAAAGAAATCTGATAAAGAAGATGCGACAGAATACACCATTGGGGCAGTTTACGATTTGCAAGCAGTGATACAACTGCCGAAAGGAAACGTATCAGTCTATTATAAATCCAAATTAAATGTATTGAACTTTACCATCGACAATTTGCTTCATAATTCCTGTGAGTGTTATGTTTGGGATGAAAGCAATGGACATAGAGGTGTGAATGAACGCCTCTTGCAACTTGTGTACTTGGATACATGAGTGAGAAAGCTAACGCAAAAAAATGAAAAATCCTTCACATTTTATTCCGACAATTGCGCAAGGCAACCAAAATTTAATTTATGACTACCATGACTACGAAGCCAGTTCCTAAATTTAAAAAGTGTTACGACCAAATACCTCGTTACAGGTCATACACAAAACGAAGGTGATTCAGCCCTTTCCCATAGAAAGAAAGGTAAAACGTCTATTGAAAAGTGGGCCTGTGTACACCCCAGAAATATTTATCTCCGAGAACCATTCCACGTACATGAGATGCGCTACGATGATTTCTATGACATCAAGCAGTTACAGATGGCTATTACCCTATTAACATGGGTGGTGTAAAAATTTCGGACGTAAAAGTCATCTAAGTTCTGAAGGAATCGCCCAACTCAATAGTCTACAAGATATCTTATTCAGATGCTACTTTCCAGGAAGCTCTCATTAAAAGGAAAAAAAGAGATCTAACAATTATGTAATGCTAAGCCACGGATCTCCGAGAGAAAGGGACCTGATGGATTTCGTGCACAATAAGTTCATCCCGAAATGTTATCAACCTTTCTACAACAACTTGTAAATTGTTCGTAAAGAGAGAGAAGACGTTCTACAATGTTATATAATACATTAAATGACACTGTTAAAATTAATATTACTTTCCTTTTGGATGCTCGATATAGTATCTAATTGTATAGAAACAGTTGTGCAGCAGAAAATATTTTATTTGGAACTTTAAACTTTTGTATCGAATTTAATCGTTTTGTCATCCGGCAAGGTATAATGTACATGTATTATATGTGAATTTTTTGTAGTGAGCTACTGATACTGTCACCTGATGAATATGATTACTACGTCAAGTGTTGTAGCTATAGACAGCGGCGTTTGCTGAAAATATATTCCCGCCCTTAAGTCGTTTTTGACAAAAGCCACTGATTCATATACGAAGAAACAAGGCAATGGTAAAATACCTAGATTAATAAAGAGAGGCTCACAAGAATTGCGTGGGTGGGATTTGCTTATTCGTGTAATTCTTTTTTGTAATCTAAAAGTCTGGGAGCCATAAGATATACGAGGGTAGTCCCAGAAGTACCCGACCCAACAAAGAAAAAACAAAAATTTTGGAAAAATATGTTTATTTTTCAACATAATCTCCTTTGAGCTCTATACATTTTCCCAGCGATGTTCAATAAGTTCGATACCCTTTTTATAATAAAGAACTGCTCTTGCTCATCAAACATAGCCAGTTAACTACCGATTTCACTTCTTCATTGTGGAAAATCTTTGACCCACTGAGCCATTGTTTCAAGTTTGCGAACAGAAAATAATCAGAGGGGGGCTAAATAGGTGCGTGAGGTAGCAATTCAAATTTTAATCATTAATTTTGGCCATTGCAATAACGGATTTGTGAGCTGTTGCATTGCCTGATGATAACAACACTTTCTTTTTAGACAAGTGTGCCATTTTTGCTTGATTTCTTCGCACAAACGTGCAATAAGTTCGCACTAATACTCGTTCGTGATAGTTTTTCCTTTTTCAAGATTTGTCAATGAAAATTATCCCCCGCGCATCTCACAAAACCGTCGCCAGTCCTTGCCTGCAGATGGAACGGTCTTCGCCTTCTTTGGTGCACGTTCTCCCTTTTCAGAACAAAGTTTGGATTGTTGTTTTCTCTCTGGGGTGAAGTGGTGGACCCATGTTTCATCCATGGTTATGAAACGGCGTAAAAATTATGCTTTGTTGCGGTGAAACTTCGCTAAACACATTGAAAAATCTTCACGACACTTTTTGCATGAGTGTGAGCAAACGCGGCGCCCATCTTTCTCATGTCTAAATTTTCAGACAATATGCGATGTGCCGCACTTTTCGAAATGCCTACTATGTCAGCTAGCTCGCGCACTTTCAGTCGACGATCACCCAGTACTGCTTTGTGGATTTTCTCTACCATTTCTGGAATTGTCACCTCATTTGGTCTACCACTGCGATGATCGTCTTGGCAGCTCGTACGGCCTCGTTTAAACTCTGCTACCCAATATTTTACTGTAGTAAACGAAGGCGCAGACTCACCCAGAGTAGAATCTTGTTCAGTTTTTATGTTGGCTGGGCTGAGGCCTTTGAAATGAAAGTATTGGATCACATAAGAATGTCCAATTTTCTCCATTTTTACGAATTCACTCACAACGTTCACTATTTATTGTTGCCAAACATACTAAACAACGTAGCGTCTTCAAACTTGAAACATATACCTCATAGATTGTCTACTTTCTAATACAGTGATATTTTTCGAATACCACGATATCTAGGTCAGGCCAGGTACTTCTGGGACCACCTCCGTATTTCCAGAGGCGGCTCTGGGATTAGGCAACAGGGAGGGCACACAAAGTTACAGGATCAATGTTAGGCATTTGAAAAATTGTTATGTTTGGATTGTTTACGTTACATAAGTAATATTTACAATCGAATTATCTCCCCGGAAGATAGGCTAAACACATGATCTATAAATTAAATTGAGTCTTCTGTTGTTACATTCCGTAAATCTATTACTAATTCTTCAAAATTAAATGAGTCTCGTAACAAAAGTTTTTATAATGAAAACATACAAAGTCCATTCAATCTCTCTTCCGATATGGTATTTCTTAAAAATGTCTATAATCTTTTCAAAGTGAAAAAGCTCTCTCCGATTCTTTTATATAGCACATCTAGCTCAGATTTCAGTTTGTTAGCTCACGAACGGAGAGTACTGTGAAACGCGATCAACCTGTTGTAGGAGGAAATCTTCTTGATATTGTTGGAACGTTTTACAATCAAAGAGAGAACACAAGGCTAAATTCCCCCTAAAATTACGATGGCCATTTACCCTTTTGAAATTTCCGAACAAAAGAACGATTGCCATTTCTATCAGATTGTAATTTTTACGCATATAGCCGGACCGAAGAACTGACATTTGACAGCAGTCATCTCCGCTCCTGTCTCTGTCATTCGGCATTAGTCTCCGCAAGGCCATCGTCGCTTGTGCCGCCTTATCACTGATGTACAGAAGGTGATAGCTAAACCGTAGCCACGCAACAATCATAATATTCAAGTACTTGAGATATAGACCCGAGTGGGTGTGGATGTCTCCCACTGGTGATGGATTCTCTTACCGTTCTGCTCGTGACGAGAATTGTCTCCATCCGCGGACTAAGAATATGGCTTCATTGAGGATTTCAACCACTCCCTCTATGTTTGACCACTACCGTGAGTGCCACGACGTCCGCAAAACCAACGGTCTCAGCACCGTGCGGCATATGTCGTATATTATGTTTCACAGTAGGAATGGAACGCCTATGGTAACTCTATGGGGCCATTGACCATCCTCCATGTGGTACAACGGCGTGTTTCCTGTAAAGTATCCGACGACTATCGTAACTAGATACTGTGACACTCTCATATGCTGCTCTTAGAATGCAGTTCCATCTCATTGACCAGAAGGCGTTCTCGACATCCAGGGTGACAATATCGCAATACTTTTTCCTACCCTTTCTCGATCACTTGCCTTGTATTGGGTTCCAACTATGTCAACTACATATTGACTGGCATTAATGTAGTCCTATCCTTTCTAAACCCATACTGGTTTTCTGCAAGTCCTTCTACGCTCTCCATCGCTTGTTCCATTCGACTGCAAATCAATCGCTTCAACTCTTTCCCCAACTGTGACAACCATGCATATAGGCCGGTAGAATGAAGCTTCCTCTAGGATCTTTCCCCTTAGGTTTTGAATATATCTAGACCCCCCCCCCCACACACACACACACACACAAATGGCTCGCAATAGCAGATATTTCCCTCTTCTGTCAACATTTCTATGTCGGAACAAATTCTTCTTTTACAAGTTTAATAAACAATAGCTCAAAGTAGAAACGATTCAGTTCATTTCTTCAATTGTTCAAACACGTTTACTATGATTATCTCCTTTTATAAACTTTCTCTTTATGCCATTAGATGCTATCCGATATGGAAATCATTTGTACACAATGCAAGCACTTGCTTAGGGTCCTCCTTTGGAAACGGTCGCTTTCCAGAGGCTTTTTTAAAATTTGTTCAGCAGTCTAAAAAAGATATTAAGAAATTCACAAATGACTACCTGTTTTAAATTTTTTGTATTGTAAATTAAATGTAGTTCAGAACTCATTCACTTAGAATGCTCTGTGAACAGTTATATGACATACAGGAAAGTATAACTAAATATGATATAGAACCACCAATTTTAAAATACAGAAATACATTCACTTCAATGGAACAAATCATGCATCTACCTCTATTACATTTACTATGGTTAATGTTTTTAAATTAAGTATTTACAAACTCAAAGCGCTGCATTTTCTCACTTTTATTACATTTTGCTCTTTTAAACTCTATTGCATATCTTTTCAAGGCCAACGACAGCAATTCCTTCCTCTTCACTTGGGGATACCCTCAGTGACTCAACCCACTCGTACTCCATTGATACCACCAACCTTTGGGAATATTGTCACCATTTCAACTCGGTTGTTCACAAATTACTCCAATTTTTTTTTAATTATATACATTATATAAAGATCTAATTGTTAAGAAAAATAAATCAATCTCCCTCAATAATGTAATTGTAAGGCAGGGTTATAAAGTAAACATTTGCAATTTTCATAAATTCTGAGATTTTAATGAAAATCAGACCTATACTATGTTTATTTTAAAAGATTACATTGGCCTATTCCACACAAAAAAATAGTTACTTGTGAGAAAATATTGAAAATATAATTAGGAGTCTATTGAAAAATATAAGATATATTTCAAATTCATATTTTTTCTCTATTATGCCCCCCCACCTCCCACATGTCTTTCTGTCAAAATCTCAATAGCAGTTTTTGGCAGCACTACAAAACTTTCTCTATACAACAGATATTGTCTGTACATACCTAGTATAAGAGATAGTAATTATTTAACTAGCTTTTGAAGTTTTTATTTTTAAACTATTTCAGAAAACAGAAAAACTGTGTTCCAATTTGTTAGGATTATTAGCTTAATACAAAATTTAATTTGCTTTTTGCCTTTGAAATTATAAATTAAAAAGTTTTGCGATTTTAAGATGTAGCAAAATTGAAATAGTACTTAAATCCAGTCATTTCTCAAGTTTGTTTCCTACTAATTTCTAAACACATGTGGTAAGTCTATGAATACTATAGATTTTAATTCATAACATTTGCAAAGTGAAATTTCATTATTTTGAAAGTGAGAAATGGTTATCATTACATTGCCACAACTCCTTCAAGGGTTTCATCTGTATGCTGTTTCGCTTTACTCCTCTTTCTCTATTCTTAATTAACAGAAAACATTAAGAGGCCACAACATGTAAAAAGGTGGAAGTCCCCAAATAAGTAAATCTGGCACGGGAAGATACCTTGCTCTCCCCAAGTGAAAAATCTTCCCCTCTATTAGTATCACATTGATGTACCATTTCATAAAATCATACACTAAAATATAATTTTATTATTATAAAATTTATAAATATGGTAAGTATTACCTTCATGAATATGCCCAAAGACATGGTACTTTGGACGCACCCTCTGCTGGACAGTAGACAACAATTCAACGCAACCTGCTCTCACTCCAGTGCAGCACAAATCCCCATGTCCAATTGGTGGGGTGTGGGTAATTAAGATATCAGTATCATCTGGTATTTGGTTCCATTTCTTCAGTAGTTCATTCCCTCGAGGGAGACCAAAAGCCCATTTACAATATTCTGGTTGCCTAAATGTAAAATTATAAGGAAATGATTGTCACTGTCAAAGTATATGTAAGTAAAACTGTATGTATTGTTTCTTTGTCAAACCAACCATGGGCTTCCATAGAATTTGATTCCATAGAGAATTACTTCTGTATCTTGTAAGTATATACAATTAGTCAAACAACTTTTGATGTTTGCTGTTTTCAATGCCTCTGTTATATTTTCCTTTGGCAAGCCCAAAGTAGGGATATGATCAACAAGACTGTATCCAGTATGAGTAGATTTGTCAATAGCACCAGGACTTAATTGAGAAGTTAATGAATCATCAAAACTCAATTCATGGTTTCCTGCTATAACTATTTTATGCTTATGTGGCAATCCACCTACAAAAATAAAATATATTTAACATCCAAATAATCAAAACCACACTTCATGCACTTCAAAAATACTTAGTGAACTTACCAAGCCAGTCATTAAAATCTTTCACTTCTGTTTTCAAACCAACTTTTGTAAAATCTCCAGCATGGATGAAAATATCTCCATGTGGTATGTCAAAAGGGAGTTGGGATGTGCGGGAATGAGTATCACTCATGCATACTATTCGTATCTGTAATTAAAGAACCTATAAGCATTTTTAATTTCCAATTTAAAACGTTCATAACATTTCAAAAATTGACCAACAGACCTTATCATCAGCCACTGGGGATTTTGGGTGCTGAACATTTACTTTAATAACTTTCTGTTGCTTTGACAGTTCTTGCCATGCTACACTTGGATTCTTCGTCAAAGGATGAATTTCTATTGACATGGTTCTTTTTTTTACAAGACCACACAGTTCTTAGATCAAATGTTGTATGCGCACATTGATTTTCAAATACACTCAGCGTCTCTGACAGGTACGCGATCGAATCAGCAAAGAGAACGCCAAACGCACATGGCAAACGGCAAGATCGCTAATTATGCACTATTAAAAACACTGCAAATATGGCACAGAAGACACTACTAAAATTCACTTCACTAGAAAATAAATAGTTATTTAATTCATTCGCAATGCAACTACGCTTTTTCCGCTATTCATTAGTTTTATTACTCTTGCTTTTTAAGTATGTGAATTTCCTGGAACTGTGATTTGTGCCATCTTCATTGTGGGGAGTAAATTCTCACTAGAACTACATTAACGGTAAGTCAAGATCTCCTAACATATTCGAAAACATTGCATTCACGTTCCTCACAGCACAGCCGCGCAATACCGGATCAAGAGGAGCTGTCTGAGACTGACAGTTCGTGTGGTGTCTGATGTAAGAATGTTACTTACATCATTGTGCAGCAGATGACCACAGATGACAACTCTTGTATGAATGATGGGGTTGGCATTATTGTTGATCGCGGTACAAAACACGATAGATGGAATAACCCAAAGAGTGTTTATGAATAACCAGCAGAATGCCCAGAGAATACCGCTTAACGTGGCGCTAATCATAACCTCTGAAAATCGGTTACGTATTTTGTGAATCGAAGTTTAACCCGTGTAAAGAAGAGCTAAGTGGATGGGGATGTAATTCCATTGGACTTCGGAGTACAAATGTGTATGGATGGAAGTGGACGTTCAATTGATTCTTTATCATGCGAAGTTTGGTGAATAGAGCAATCAAGCCATGGTAATTTCATTATTTATAACGAGTTTAAGAGCACCAGTTTTAAGGTGTGCGTTAAAAGTAGAACACTTTCTGACTGGGAAACTCATTGTTCAAAAAATTGGAAGATATTATTGTTTTGCTCCAGTTAAGATATTAAACAAAGAAGTTCCCACAATTATGAAACTTGACACACCCGAATTTAAGTCAATATTTACACCTGAACTTCAAGTTTTGGGTGATTTGTTTCAAAAGCATGGATTTGAATTACGAATAGCAGGAGGAGCTGTCAGAGATCTTCTAATGAATAAAACTCCTCATGATTTGGATTTTGCAACCACAGCCACTCCAAATGAAATGAAGAAAATGTTTACTGAAGAAAATATTAGAATGATTAATATGCAAGGAGAAAAGCATGGAACAATCACACCTAGGATCAATGATAAAGAGAATTTTGAAGTCACAACTTTGCGTATTGATGTACTTACTGATGGCCGACATGCTGAAGTTGAATTTACTACAGACTGGCAGTTAGATGCCAATCGCAGAGACCTCACTATAAATTCTATGTTCCTTGGTTTAGATGGAACAGTTTATGATTATTTTTCTGGGTATGATGATCTATTGAACAAGAAAGTGGTTTTTGTTGGTGATCCCAATACACGAATTCAAGAAGATTATCTTAGAATTTTGCGGTATTTTAGGTTCTATGGAAGAATTGCTAAAGATCCAAACAGTCATGATGCCAAGACACTTGAAGCAATAAAAAATAATGCAGAAGGGCTACAAAGAATATCAGGAGAACGAATATGGAGTGAATTGAGAAAAATTTTAGAAGGAAATTTTGCAGAGTCTTTGCTGAAGATTATGTTAGAACTTCATATTGGGCCTTTTATTGGGTTACCTGAAAACCCCAATATTGAAGAATTAACCAAAGTATGCTCCAGAAAATTGGAGGGTCTCCGAGGTATTTCTGTTATTAGTGCACTCTTAAAGAAACCAGAAGAAGTTATGACCTTTCATGCTCGTTGTAAACTGTCAGCCTTTGAGAGGGATTTAGCACTCTTTCTCGTTGAACATCGTGAAGATAAGATTTCAGACATAGCAGTACGACCATATCAACGAATAGTTGTGAGCAGTAAGATGAAAACATCTGACATCTTTGAATTTGTTCTTGAAGTATTAAGATACAGAGGAGACCAACTATTGTTAGAGGAGTTCAGTGAGTGGAAAGTTCCTCGTTTTCCAGTTACTGGAAACCAGCTTAAAGAGAGGGGTGTACCTTCTGGTAAAACTCTTGGGTTAGTGCTGCAACAACTTAAAGAGTATTGGATTGAAAAAGACTTCACTCCTACAGTAGAAGAACTTTTCCTTCAACTACCTGCGGTTTTATCCCGATTAGGGATTGATCTGAAGACAAAATAAATTTTGTTATGTATTAATTACAAAATAAATAAATTATTGCTCTGAAGTTTTGTTCTACTTTTTTCATTTTCTATAAATTTGACAAAAACACACTTATTCCACAAAGAAAATTGTAATTTTATAGTTTTGCTACTAAGTATTGTTTATGGTGTGTATTCTGAATTGTGACGTTTGATTGTAATTTTGACAGAGCTTTTAACATGGATATTAAAGTAAGAGTATTGTTTAGTAAAAGAAAAGCCCAGATGTTATGGTTAAAAACAACTGGGACAACCTAAATGATAATAATAATAATAATAATTGCAAAAGGGTAAATGATAAAGGACAATAATATAAATAAAATAAAAGTTAATCACATTGTATATTATTTTGGACTGGATTTCAGCGGAAATGCAAAATATTTTCTCTTATAGACAGAAAGTATACTCACTTCGTACATGCCCAAAAACATCCAACATCCAGAAAACATCCAATTTAAACATGAAGCTATTAAACATGATTTGTTTGAATGCAAATTATGCACATTCTTATTGAAAACTACTTTTAATTTTCATTGTAAATGTGATAATTGAGATGTATTGCTAATTGTTAAATGTATGATCGAACATTCTTCGTGAAAACCTACAAATTGAAATGTTATTAGAATGGTAAGAATAAACTTGCCTGAAGAACTATTGTTCATAAAAATTATTATAGGTCTTAATATACTTTATAGAACTTATTTTAGAGCATTTATCTGGATACGTTTTGTATTTTCCTGTTAAGCCATTCCCCAGTTATTATCTGATTCAAATGTGTTAATTTACTAGACTTTAAATAAGAAACATAACAATTTATTAAAATCAATCACAGATCTAGCCAGTGTCAAGTTAATAAAAGTAAAAAATATGCAGTTTGTGATGGGCTGTCCAAGATTACTGCATTGCATTGAGAGGCTCAGGATAATAAAAGAATATACTTCGCATTTCCAGTTAGATGTATGATGGTAAACTCCTATCATATGCTGAAATATCAAATAAATTGGAATATGCAAAACTGTCAAATTCCACCTTCAAAAATTTGTCTAAGGTGAATGAAAACAAAAAAAGTCATTTCTCTCGAAACAGCCCCACCTTCCGTTGGGATCTACCATTATTATTTTAAGTCCCTCATTTGTACCGGAAACATTGTTTTGCAAGTTGGGATCTGTTTATGGGCATGTATGACTACCCCTACACTTTCTTCAATTCTTTAACCAGTCTAACATCTGTGCTTGGGGTGTATCCTCATCCTCTATCACACATGTCAATATTTCAGGAAAACTCGTGTACCATCTAGCTTTACTGCACGAGGCATACTAGAGAGTCTACTTTACTTTATTTGTTTCTAATGATGAAATTTTGAATTGTATTCAAGATTTTTTTAGTAATACTCTAGATGTTTGTATATAAAGCTATGATGCATAAACAGTATGAATTCACATAATTGAAAAGCTGAAATATCTTTGAGTAGGGTTAGAGTTGTTTTCATTTTCTTAATGAATTCAAAAGCACTGTCGATTGTGTAAAATTAAAGAAATTAATGTTATTGTGTGCCAAATTATCATTTTTGATTATTTTGGATGTTTCATAAACATGAGAACACAAGATAAGCTCATCCAAAAATCACCCTCCAGATAACTATAATTTCAGTTAAATGTATATTTAGCAATTCATTCTTGTAATAACACTAATGTTGAACACAGCTCATATAACACTGTGCAGAACCTGTGGCCAGTATTTTCACATTAATATGTAATTATTTTTTACCCCAAGATCATAATAAAAAGAAATGTTAAACCTAAGAGTCATCTGGCTCATCCATCCTCAAGAACTTACATGAAAAAGTAATAATTGAAATACTTTTTAAACTAGGTATAATAATTGACTATCTCAAGAAAGCCGATGAATCAATTCCTAACGATGTGTGCCACGCCAGAAAGGTAATTTACTGCAATTCACCTCTAATGGCCTCAAAACAAACAAAAACACATTTCTTCAAGAATTCTACCAAAAGATTCCAAAGAATCCAGCAAAAAATAGTGCTAATCGATTTGTCTAGTCAAGGAACAATGCAATTTATCACTACTGTACTTTAGACTACACAGAATTCTTCAATAGTCACACTGTATTATCCTGAGAGACTGTATTAATTCAACAATCATGAAAAAGCCTGTTTTCAAAGCAATTTTATTCATTTCCTCATGAAGTGAAAAGGGAATAGGAACATGTTGGGGAGGTATTTGTTAAATTTGCAAGGACTTAACATATGATTAGGAGTTCACCAAAACAATCTTTGTAAATAATAAAAAGCTTTTCACTGACAAGTCATAGCCATGATATAATTTCACACTTTTAAGAACACTTGTTCAATTCTGTTTAAAAAAAAAAATTATAAAATTTCAGTACAATTGTTACAAAAAGTGGTGTTTCTTCGACCCTCACTTTCCATTAATTCCCTAATGACAGAATTTAGATAGAAATCCTATTTCACTCATCCTTCCTCTGATGAAATTACAGTACATTAAATATAAAAAAATATTTACAAACAAATTTTAAAAAATTAATGTGATCTCACAAATCCTCTGATGATTTTCACATCATCTACTGGTCGGTCATTTTTATCAGTTTCTACCAAGCCAATTCTTTTGACAACATTCATTCCTGAATGAACTCGTCCTGAAAATCACAAAACACATAACAATAAGCTTTTAAAAGGCCAAAGGAATTAAAAAAAAAAAAATATCACTGTTTACAACATACCAAATATCGTATGTTTCCCATCCAACCACTGAGTGGGCGCAAGAGTAATAAAGAACTGGGAACCATTTGTGTTGGGGCCTGAATTTGCCATTGAAAGAATTCCAGCACCTACAATAATTTCAATTAAAAAAATTATATTACATTACAAACAAAAGACCACGATTAAACACGATACAAGAAAAAACTATGAACTAGAATCTTCAACAGCTGCCAACTTGTGTGGACAAATTGGATATTTCTAATATCTACTATTTATGCAAGATGAAGATGACATCAAGAAAAAGTCTTTTAATTCATAAATTCTTTATTACCCTTTGTCATTCTTCACTTTCAAAAAAATATGTATGCTCGATGCACTTTTCTACGTTATAAGGAAAACAAATAAAAGGATAGCGCTAATTGTCTTCACAATTCATAGATGAAACGAATAAATTTTTACTAATTTTATGAATCTATAAGAATATTCTCAGAGAAACCTGTTATTAAGTATAGCATTTTTAACATTTCACATTTCCAAGCACAAAATTTCAGTACACTTGTGAAAATACAGTAACTGAATAAATTAACTAAAAAAAAAACTAAACTATTGATCATTAACTTCGTGATTAATTCAATAAGCAAGTCATTTTGAAGAGTTTCACTGTTCATGACTTCTCTACACTGACTCATCGTATAGAGCAGATTTTGGATGACACATCATAAAAAGGATAAACCTCCAGAAAAAACTTGTAACAAAGCTCAGAATATTTTCAGATAAATGATATTTACATAGTAAACATACATGAAATGAGATGTTGCTTTGATAATGTAACGGTTGGCACATTGGAAGTTCACAGGATCAAACCTGATCGAAGTATTGGAAGGCCTTGCTTCAGAGGAGAAGTAAATCTGTCTGTCCCATGTAGATTAACTAAGATTAACCTTGCATGTTAAAGATCCTGAAGCCTAAAAGACGCCTCAAAGCTAAATTTAAAACACCTTTTTCTTCACCACAGTGATACCTTTTTCTCAGCTAGATGACAAAAGCAGCATAGTAAAATTTGCAAGGTTGGGCAGAACAGCATGCAAGTGGCCTAGGCTTCGCTGATGATTGACAATGTAATATTTTTCACGTAAGGGTAATTACCTGTATGTTTTAGTTCTTCATGAATTTCATCATCAAAATTTCTGCCATAAATGGAGGCTCCACCCTTCCCTGTACCTGTAGGATCACCACCTGCAAATTAATGAACCATGGAATTATTTCTTAAACTCTTGTAAGTAACATTTAGTTTAATGCTATTGAAATGTTCTCAAATTTTTAGAACCTTGGATCATAAAATCTCTTATTATTCTATGAAACTTTGTGCCATTATAATATCCACGTCTTGCCAACTCTGCAAAGTTCCTACATGTTTTTGCAGCATGCTTCCAATACAGTTCAATGACTATTTCTCCCATTCTGAAACAAAACACAAAAAAACGTATAAATACGTTTTAAACGTTTTTATACGTTAAAAACGTAAAAAGACAATAAAAGACGTCTACTTAATGATAAAAAAGAAACTAACATATCACACACGAAGAGGAAATAAAGTGAATATAAAAATGCATCTAAAAGATTAGTGCATAAAAAACCTAAATTTTATAAAACTTCACTCAGGTTTTATCAACATTTTTCTCCATCTACGGTAATGTACAAACAGAAATAGAGATCTGACTACTTATGAATGTATTCATCATAAAGAAATATATTAACACTCAATATTTTGCTGATAATGTGTGGAAACACAAATATAAAATAGGAATGTGCCCGTCAGAGGGTTAAGAATCACTTTACAATTATACTACCCCTCAATTACAGTTAAACCACCAATCGCGAATCAGCGATACCTGGGAAAGAAATCGCGACAAAAACTGTGAAAAATAAATTAGTGGCATGTTATTCACATATATTATACTTTTTCATCATCACACGAATATAACCTCACTTACGTCGTTTCTAACACTGTATAGGACGGCTGCCAAAGTTTATCAGGTATACCAGTGGGAGTTGTCATGATATAAGGTATTTCTATTTCAAATAATATTTGCTTCTTGTCCCCAAAGACAGTAACAGAACACAGCACTGAAAGTAAAACAGTACCAACGTTTGTATTCCTTTTCAGACACGATTGAACACTCGTACAGACTCTCACAAGCTAATCAAACTATTTCACTTGGAGCGCTGTGGCATGTTGTTTAAACAAACCCACATTTGGCCCACAGTAGAAAAAAGAAAACTACACAAATCACAGCATGACCAACATTACACACTTAATATAGCGATTGGTTCATGAAAATAAGTGCTACGAAATGTTACAAATAGTTTTTATAAATCTGTGTTCACGTCCAATTTTGCGACTAATTCATAAATTATTGTGAAATCAAATATTATTCTTTTTACCAAAAATATTGACATTTTTTTTGTTATTTGAAAAGCAATGGTACTATTGATTTTTTTAAAATATCTCTTATGTATTCGTGAACAAGAACTACACTTCGATTTATGTAATTCTGCCTCTGACAGGTACCAGCTGTAGACGGTTTCATCCAATCGACAGCATGAACGTCACCATAATGTCGTAAAAACGTATGTTGATGTTTAAGCTCTCGATTGGATAAAACCGCCAACACCTGATACCTGCTAGGGGTTAGAGTTGCGAAAATCACCGTACGGTCCCACAAGAGCCCACTAACTATTTAAATGTTGGTGTCGATAATCCAATATCTTAACATGACATTATCATCATCATCACCATCATCATCATCATCATCATTATTATTATTATTATTATTATTATTATTATTATTATTATTATTATTATTATTATTATTATTATTATTATTATTATTATTATTATTATTATTATTATTATATGTTTTTTCAAAATTTCTCGCTCGTCCGAAATTTTCAGATACAACCCCAGGACCGATCTTTAACATATATGGTGAGACAAATGGTGAGAAGTCCATGCTCCAGTGCATTCAGGCTCCTCTTCAATGACTAAGAGAGAGAACCTTATGCATAATATTGGTGCTTGCCAGCAACATCGCCTTTTGCATGGTTCTGAAATGCCATTCATTTAGGTGGAGTTTCTCTTTCGCTATCTTCCAATCTTCATCAACAAGCCCATTGGTTGAAATAACGGCTACGTACAATATTTACCTCTTGTATAGGTTTTTCAGTTCAATGAGGTTTTTCAGTTAATTGAGAGTGGCTGATATTTCCTTTTCTTTTCTGTAATTGTTGACAGCAGATTATTATCTTATGGGACTGCGATATCTATTATTATTGCCTTGCGAGTAGTATTGTCGAATACGACAATATCATGCTTATTTGCTTCCAGAGTCTTATCTGTAACAATGGCAGTATCCCACACGATGTTTGTGCTCTCATTAGACAGAACGTGTTCTAGTACATATTTGTAAAAAGGCAAGCTTTCCTTTATCAATTCCGATCATTTGCTTGGTGAATAATTTTGGCAACATTATTTGACGTTGTAAATACTCTGTTTGTGCCAACTGAGAACATCCACTGCAAATGTGTTGAATAGATTCGGTGGCCTTCTTACACAGGCGACACTTGTCACTGATTCTTTCGTAATATAACGCCCGGAGTTATAAGTGGTTACTACATGATCTTGAATGGCCAGCACACATACTTCCGCCTCGTCAATTCGGTCCTCAGATTTCGGAGAACTTGGGATCTTCTTGGAGCAGCTTAAGAGGTTTATAAGTGATCTTGTGCACAGACGGCCGACATGAATTCGTTGTTGATTAAATAATTTCTGAACTGTTTTTTGCCTTGGGCCTTGGGCCATGCGATCTGCGGTGACTGCAACGTTTCACGCGAGCTTACGTTTCGTTCCCGGCACTAAATTTGTTTTAAACTTGTAATATGGAACTTTTTTTTCTATTATCTCTAACTTTGCAGCTCTCCGACTATTGAACTATTGCAACAACGTCAATTTCCCGGGTCAGGTATTCTGTTCGTGCTAATTCAGAACACATTAGATGTTGAACTCTTTTGCTTTAGTGAGTGGAAAGTGGCATCGATTCTCTACTCTCATTTCCTCAATCACACGTCGAAGGTAATTGCGAGTGGGAGTAATTTTGTTCTGGATGGAAATGACGAAGACATCTGTCCCAGCGGATTTTGTTAGCTCGGAGACTCAAAACTATGTTCACAGCGTTGACTTTCAGCCAGGCTGGAAAACTATTGTGCAAATGCTTGTGCACCCATTCACTCGGCCTACATATCTTCCTGAGCGGTGCGTGGACTCTCAAAAAGAGCTTATTTGAGGTTCAGACGCATAAAATCCGTGTCCTTTGCACACAATGCTTATTGAACAATCGTTTTCGCAGAAAGAAATTGCGAAGACTGTTGATTAGTTCTGCTCACAAGGTTTCAAAATCTAAACGACCTCACACCCTACATTTCAAGGAAAGTATAGACTTCATAATAACCAGTTGGGATGGTACCTACAATATTTGGTAAGAGCGGTCCGCACTTTTCCATTAATTTTCTGCAGTGTAGTTGCGCAATGATGGAGATCCTGTAGATAATTACAGCAGTGGCGACTCGTTATTAGATTGCACAGTTGCACAAAACCCAGATAATGAAAAAAAAAAACATAAAATAGGTTAGGAATATACATTTTTCCTTCAATGAATTCAATATTCTATTACAGAAATATCGATGTACATGAAATCATTTTGAAACCAAAGGACGTCCAACTAGCGCTCTCTCCGCCGTGTGGTGTTCTCCCAGGGTTTGCACCATGTCACGCTCTTGGTTCTATTACTGCATTTACTCTTTAGCATTACGCTTCAAAATAGAATCTTCGGTCACAACCAATTGGGTGGGGAGATTTGCCGTCCAGAGCTACAACCTTATTTTATGTATTTCGCATGTTATTGCAAGTACACAAGTCCAGCCAATTATTGACAGTATTGAATACGTTATTTATATTAAGAGAATGTTTTCATTTAATATTAGTTTTGTTGAGTCCAAACGTACATTTGATGACTACTTTGTGTAAAGTTGACCGTTCTGGAAGAAAGTCCCTTTGTGTCTCACGGTGTGCGCTTTTTCGCGGCGTGGCGGCAGATAGTTTGCCAGCCGTTGGCGAGAGTTGTTGTGAATACAAGTGTGTAGAATATCTTTCATTATTGCAATATATACCAAGCTAGCAGGTGTGGCTTTTCCAGTGAGCTCTAATTAAAAATGTTGAGATCATTGGGCTTTTCAAACGAAGTGCCCATGCTATGGTCACGTGGTTCGTGACGTCAACTGGTGTTGCGCAGAACGAGCAAAAATCGGTGCGCCGGAGGAACTGACTAATGTATTTCCACCATTCAATGGAGGTGTTCCCATGTTTTTTTGTCTATCACTATAATGCGATTTATTGCTGCTTCTGACACTTGTGTCTCGGGAGAGCAAATTGCGGAGCCACGATTGTATGCGAAGACAGCCGAGTCGCTGTCCGTGAGAGTCGCATTGCGGGAAATTTCAAACTTAAATTTGAAACTTCAAACACTTATGACCACAACACATATGTGATGGAAAACTGAATTTATAAACAAAATATTAATATATTACTATTATTTAAATTAATTATAACATTAATTATATAAACGTTAATATAGCAGTATTGGGTATATTATTTTATGTTTTTATAAATTGTTATCATTTCCACATCACTTGATGAAGTAAAATCACGTGATTGATTCATTAGATGATTAGACAAACTCAAGAACCAATTGCGAGCTTCTAAGAATGCTGTGAACAAAGTTCATGTTTGACATCTGTCCATAACGGAAGAATCAACCGAACAAAAACGTACGAATTTGCACCTCAAAGGTGTCTCGACATAAAAAAACTAAGAGAAATACCAAAATCTATCTTTCCGTCTATATTGTAATCTCACATGTCAAACAAAACACTGCAGATATACTCGCGATAAATTTATAAAACATTGCAATAAATTATAACATTTAAGTGCTCTTTTATACAGAACACAATAGAACGTGTCCATAGAGAGAATTTAATTAGAAATCGTGTAACGCTTTACACTGATATTGTAATATATAATGTTATTAGTTATGAGATTTTAAATCCACAATTATACTAAAGTATATCTTAATTTTTACTTACTATATTAGAGAGTTTGGAGTATTAAGGACAGAGTGTGGACAAAAAAACCCAACTATAAAAAAACAAACGCCTCCAAAACCATTATTCTACTTTCATATCAAGTGGTAGTGATAAATGAATAAGCAAGTGTATAAATAAATAAAATAATTTAATTAATAATAACTAGACAAAGTGAAGATTGTGATTTTTATAATTTACATGGATTATTGATTCCTTGTAGTTGCAATTGAAAATCATTATTTAATATTAAATAAACATAATTATACAACATTTATATAATTCCTGTTAATATTTAATTAATAATTCATATATTAATATATATATCGTTAGCAAATCAGGAAAAATGCTAACGAATTTATAAAAACAACCAAAATAAAATAACTAATACTAGCTAATTATTGCAGTTACTTATATCATAACTTACTTATTCTTTTGCCCATTTCAAAAGATTTAATAATAGTGTTTTCCATCAAATATGTTTTGTGGTCAGAAGTCTCTAAGTTTCAAATTTAAGTTTGAACAGAACTGATATGCATTGTTTTAATATTAATATTATGTTATGCCTGCTGCCTACTGGTTTATGTAAGCAGATGTCTGCCCTTGCATGTTTGTATGGGTTGCTCCAACATGTAGCATGAAATGCATAGACGCACATCAAGCAAGCTGCATCAAGTAGGGTGATGGCAAAACACTCAGCTTATTTACACCAGTACGTAACTTTGTTCTTGAAAGACTTTTATTTAAGTATCACAGGTAACATTTTTCCATTTTCTCCTGTGTTGGTCAATGGGATTTGTGATGGGATTTAGAACCATTAATACCAATATATCCAATTGTAACATAAATTAATTGTGCTGTTGATTGTGACACCCTGTCAGATTTTATCTTTACAAATGTGACAAGGCCCGGCAATAATCATCATACCTCACCATACCTTACATGATGTGTCAATTGAAATTACATGGGTTGTCTTTTTGTAATACCTCAATCCTTACCATTTCTTCTTGTTAGGTAATATCATATCATGAATTAACACATTTGAGCATACTGTCTCATGAATCACATGTCACATCCCTTATGCAAGATGGCCACATCTCCAAAAAATTGAAAATTGAGATACATCTATCGTTAGATTCCTTGTTTTCCATTACGTGATATGCAAGCAATGTCATTTTTTTAGTTTCATAAATAGCCAAGTAGTAGCAATTCAATTTGAATCCAATTCATGTTGTTATATGCCCTCAGGAAAAATCCAAAGGCTCTCCTGTGAAATGAGTGATTTTGTTGTGGCCCTGTCGCATTAGGTCATTCTGTAGTCTTTTGAATGCAGACATGTACTGGGAATAGGTATTTCATGGGTAACATACAATTTATCTTATGTAATTTATATCTAAAATATGGGTGAGCAAAGAATGGAAAAATAATTCAGAGAAGAAAAAAAGAAAGTTCTTTGAAGTGCATACACAATTCTTTATTTCAAAGCATATTTGTACAAAATATTAATAGGCATCACAGGAATTCTGAATAATTTTTAAACATGTTTGATGTTGCAACAAAATTATTTTCTATTTCAATACTTGTTCCTTACAAAAAACCTGAGAATTGTCACATATTTTCTTAAGATTCAGAATAATGAATTCTATTCAAATATTAATTGCCATAACACACATTTCTTGCATATTTGGTCCTTAAGAATAAGGAAGAAAAAAAGAGAGAAAATTTACCAAGCTGTATTGTACAGAGTATGGTGAGAGGAAAATGTTACACACAAGACATTATCTGAAATTGGTATATTGACCAACTAAGGAATGTGTTCATTTGGGGTTACATTAAGCAAACAACACTCAATGTATCAAATGTTTTGTCTACTTCTAAATACCTACTAATAAATCACAGTAATTATATCACAGAAAAAAGTCTACTCGCAAAATTTGGGTAACAAATAAAAATTTGTGAATACCTTATGTGCAGTGCTATTTAACAATAACATTCTCAAAGCCTACATGTAAAGCATATATATGCTTGGCTGAAACAGGAGTGGGGAAAGAACTTGGTCTAATAGCAAACGCTGCTCCAGAACACCAACATAATGTTCATCCTGTTGTCCAACAGTTGTCCATCTGCCCAACACTATACTAGCATTTTTTTCATAAATAATATTACCTGTTCATACAGGTTTGTAGATAGACATTTATTTCAGCCGCAATCTATTGAAAAAGAATTTTTTCTAATTAGGACACTATGATTATAAAACACAGATTATAAGGCATGCATCTAGTCTTAATAGCACAAGTGCCGACTTTCAATTTAATGAATTGTTACATAAATTTTAAATGAAGTTCTGAATTCGTCAAGTGCAGTATTTATACCATTATTTACACATAGTAATTATTTTCATTCAGTCAAGCAGAGCACACTGAAACCATGAATAATTACTCTACATAATGCCATATTTTTACTCTGTGCAGATGTTACAACATTTTTTAATACGTTTTACTCCTCAAAAAAGTCTTTACAAATTTAAATATATGACGTTCAAATACAAAAAATATAGTTTTCTGTAGTAGCACGACAAAGTTTATGGGGAAAAAAAATAATAAAATAAAAAAAATAAAAAATAACAAAAAAAATTGTGATTTTTTCAGGTTTAAGTGAAAAATTCAAATTACCCATCAAAAATTAATTTTTAAAATTTTGTGTTATTATTAAGTATTTACAAAGCCATTCTCATCCTTTCCACCTATTAAAACTTTTTTTATGGTATGAAGGGAGAATTAGAAATGTACAATACGGCATGGAGAGAAGATAAGGGTCAATTGGAAAATCTTAAATTTTTGCACATCCTAAATATAAGCTACATATGCTGGTTTAAAAAGTTTAGTGGCATTTTTAATTTCTTATTCCCTCTTGCCTTTACGATTCATACAGAGAAACTGTACCCTACTTGTCTGTCGCAAGCTTTAAAAACATCTCACCAGAAGTCTAGTTGCTATTTATAACTGCAATGCCTCATACCACAAATGTATTTTATTCCTTATTCACTATTGTGCACTTCTTTCGTTAAAGTCTGATGTATCCTTCAAAGCTGTTTCTACTTCAGTTTTATGCACTCATCTCTAATAATGGGAACATTAATAACTAAATTTATGAATTAGCCAGACTTGAAAATTAGTAATAATATACATCAAAACAAATCAAGAATATGCTTTGTAAGTACACAAAGAGTTTGTTCCAACATATGTTCTTTTAATAAGTGCAGAGGTGCACCCAAAATGTTTGTCAGGTGGGGATGCAGGGTTTCAGATATAGGGTCCAACTGACTTTATGCTTTCTTACAACAATTTTACATTATAAAATATTGTGATAATTTACCCCAAGGTGTACATGAAAGTACACAAATTCGGAAAGAATATAAACATAACAACATCAACAAAAAGGAGACCATACAAGAAGCATTTGATAAAGTGATAAATAAGGAAAATGCAGGAAAGAGCAGAGTAATTAATAGAGGAAAAATAGAGGAATTAGTAGTAAATAAAATAGGGAATGGATATATGAACAAACAGGGCTCAAGGTATTGAGATTTGATGGTGAACAGAGTACAGAACGGATCCAGATTCTGTGACCATTGGATGAGCATGGTGTGAGTTATTAATTCGGATTATAAGTAGTACAAAATATAAAATGGGCGTGGAAAAGAAGAAGATGTCACAATTGGGACTGGACTAAACAGCAATGGAACTTTGAGTGAATGTGGGGGCAACAGTAAAGAAGGTAGAGAGGACTGCAACAGGAAAGTTACTAAAGGGGATATCTTAAATTTGATAAATGTATGAAGACCAAGTTTTGAAATTAGATTAATAAATTATTAATTAAGATTAAAAAGAGTAATGGATATGCATGCATGCAAGGGAAGGAGTACAGGAAAAATATTAGATAACAACAGAGTTGCTATTGTAAATGTTAAGTTGTATATTATTGTTCTTTATCTGGTAACCATAAGGAAAATTCCCGAATCCCAAATAAAACAAAGTAAATATCTCATACAAAAGTTTCCATACCCGGAAATCTGTACAGACAGTTCTGTCTAACCCACAAAAATAAATTTATCATGATGGATCAACGTTGGTACCTAAAGACAATAGCCTTACTGTCAGGTTAATATATAAATAAATATCAAATAAAACTATTCAAATTGAATTGTCTTTAACAGTTGTCACTTCAGCTCTGAATTTTCAAAATATCTACAAAAATATTATTCGCTCCTGATAAAATCCCACTGGGAGAAAAATGGAAATAAGATCTAAAATCTTGAAACTAATTAAAAACCAATAAAGGTGTTTTATTAACATTTTCAGTTCTCATATTTCAAAAAATTCTTTAATTGTGTAAATTCACAAAATATTGTCAATGTAGTTTTTTATCAAAGTAAAATTTCTGAAATAGAATGGGTTTCACATGAAAAAGAATGTAAAAACAGTGATTTTCGGGTGTTGGAAAATATTCTGCAAGTACAAAAATGTATAGAATTTCTAAGAAGTAAATTAATCTAAAATAAAATTGAAGTAATTAGTTTATCTTACTTTAAACATGTCATCAAGTGTTAGTTTGTAATTTAGTGTTGTATCCTCGGGCACTAACATGTTGCCAGTTTCCCTGCAAAACAATTTCAATGTTAAAATATATTCCTTATTTATATTATATCCCCTTAATATGCCTTCATGTCATTCATACTTACTCCTACACCATGGATCCATCCAGTTCCAGCTGGGTTTTCAGCAGTGACTCCATGACGTCGGGACACAATACCTGATGCTGTTACTGCCCAAACCTCTCCATTTACAGCTCCCGCTGAAATACAGCGGAACCCAGTTGATGTGGCTGGAATTACCCCAGAACTAGCTCTATCTGGAAAATTTTAATTAAATATTATGATGCAAAACAGGCGATTACATTGACAATGGCACATTCACTAAATCTAGATATTCATATACTAATTCATACATACAAATGCAAATCTTAGACATTTACATAATATTTCATACATACAAATCTAGACAGTCATATTCATATACTTTTGAATTAAGAGTCTATCTTAAGACATCCAGAATTGCAGAATAGCAGTTGTTTTTAATTATTCCCTTGATAACAAAAAATTAAAATCTTTCCTTTTGCCTAAGTTTTAACATTTATTTATTTCAAACTATAATTGTAATTTGTCCTGTTTCATAATAAATATTATTTTTGTTAAGGGCATGTAATAATTCAAATGATTCTATTGCAGGAACTATTCTCTAGACATGTTTGCATTTGGTGGAGCTGTGACCATCTTTTAGTGAAAGAAATCATGCTAGTGGTTGAGTTGAAGATGCTAAGAGGCTATTCATAAATTACATGAGGCTATTTGGGCAATTTTTCAACTCCCCCTTCCCCCGTGGTGAGATTTAACTCGCCCCTTCCACCTTCTAATCTCACATGGGGTTTTTCAAAATGCATATTTTTAATGTAAACACGTTAATTTGTGATTGATTACTGGGATTTATTTAAAATGTAATTTGTTTATTATATTAATTTAAGACAAGATATGACTAGTACTTAGAAAATAGAGTGAGTGAATTAAAATGAATATTGATGCACTTCTAAAATCAGTGCAATAATTAATGTAATTCAGTCCATAAGTAAGGTAAGTAAGTAAACAGTAAGTAAACCGAGCAGTTTGAGACTTGTTCACTGCGGGCCAACTTATACGCTGCAGTGTTTGTTGAGTCGTGCATTTGGCTGGCCGGTGGCGACTCATTGAGTTTTTACTCACAATAAACTAACATTATATTCCAACTTTTAGCACACCATGATAAAAATTGTTGTGCAAGTTTTTGCCATATTTTAGAATAGAAACCTATTTTACTTACCTTGTCTCATTTTTTTGCAGTTTTTAGCAAAAAAACCAACAACAACATGATATTTGCCGAGTCCTCCCCTCTTTTTCCCATGTAAAATTAGGTGAGATTCGCCTTGACCCTCTCCCGTCCTAAAGGCCTAATGTAATTTATGGATATCCCCTAAGTGTATCAACAACCATTTGGATCAGAACCCAGCAATGAACATTAAGTTTTTGTACCTCAATCACTCAATTTCCAATCAGAACCATCCAAAACTCAGACCTTCTAAAAAAATTAATTATTAAATTCAATTTGAAAATTTTGAATTAAAAATCAGGTGAAAAATTTTGTAAAAACTCTTGCAATTACTGTAAAACATTATTTCATTTTCGTCTCATAAAATAAATATTAATATTTTTACAAAGTAATGTAGATCTTGCACTGATCTGAAGGTATTCTAAAAAATTGCCTTTCTTTAACCCTGAAAGTGCCTACAATAGGTAGACTCACATCAGTGCCCACAATGTATCTATCGGATATAGCTGCAACTTTTTTCAATGCAAATTATCTAAAGCTCTATTTACTGATATATGTATTTGATTTAGTTTGTACATGTCCCCCAATCTAATTGTTAATGAATCCTACACAGCAGAAACCTTGTCTGAATACGTTTAGGAAGAAAGGTAAAAATTGACCAAGTACCCACAAAAATCAATAAAAATCTTATTATCTTATTAAATAGAATTAAATACAATTTCCACAAATTGATTTTTGCATATACTAAATAAACTTATTTTAAAATTTTCACAATAATATTTCAAAAGTCTTGGTCATTTTCTATTTTGCAAGTTTTGCATTTTTTTCATTTCCCTATAGACATCTCTTACACATCTTTCCCTTTGGGATGAAATTGTGACAGTTGATCCTAGATAAGACATATAATTAAATTTTCTGAATAGTCATTTGTCACAGACACAGCTGAAAATAATGCCATGATATGGACTTTTTTGGCCAAGAGTTCAAAATCCACTAGCGCCTGTTCACGCAACATATCTGACAGATATTGTGCAGCACAGCGATCAAGTTTCAACATGCTTACCAGAAATGTTTCAGCAAAAGGATAATAATAGAAAGCCAGGCATTCTCAGCAAAACACAATGAAGTAATACATGAAATGCTAATGCACCACAATAATTCACGAACATCAAATTGAGGTGGGTTGGATCTCACAGATTTATTGCGAGCACTCCTGGGTTAATATAGCAAAATAATTGTTGAGGTCCCCACAATTTAATTACATTGATATTTGACTCAACTGACTATGCTTGGGCATTTGAAGAAGTATAAGAAACTTTGAAAAAACTCTGAGGTTGTGAATGTGAATGCAAAAGCAACAAATGTGAATTATGTAATTCACAAAAAATAAGAGAAGGAAGAGGGAGGAGAAGAGAGGGATGAGGGGAGGAGGGAAGGGAGAGGGGAGGAGAGGAGGAGAGAGAGAGGAGAGAGGGAAGGGAGGGAAGACGAGAGCAGAGTGCGAGGAGCAGGGGAGAGAGAAGGAAGAGGCGAGGAAGGGACAGAGAGGGGCAGAAGAGGAATTGATGGAGAAGGAAAGGGAAGTGGAGAGAGGGAGAAGGATGAGGGGGGAGAGGAAGGAGGGAAGGAAGAAGAAGGAGACGAGAGAGAGAAAAGGGAGAAGAAAGAAAAAAAAGAAATGGAAAACGAGAGCAACCAAAGAAGAAAAGGGAGGATAGAGGAAGAGAAGATGAAAAAATTAAAAAACTGTAAGCAAGTCATAAAATGTTATACCATGATATCAAAAATAAAAGAAATATTTAGAATCAGACCCATTAACTTCCAAATCCAGGCCTGAGTAGCCCTTAAAACATCTTTGCAGGTAATCTCCACACCAATTGAATCTCTTAACAGAAGTAAAAATTCTGTTTTTCATGTTTGCGAGTTGACAACGCAATAATAAAGATTGTATTATATTATGAGTAGGGGTATAAGTTAATCAAATGTGTTTATCTGTGTCATTCAAATAAGACTCACTTCTTTACACATCTTAGATCTGCCCATTTTGATCAATTTGACTGAAAATTGAAGTTCTTTTTCCAATATTCTGAGTCAAAATGATGAAATATATTTATGATTCCATTTCATTTTTTTATACATGTACCTTGATTAGCAGCATCATTTGGACTTGTTGGTAATGTTTGCCAGTGAGTCCCTTCAGGGAAGGCAGGTATTACTTCTCTCCGAACAGAAAGTTGCCCTTGAGAATCTAGGATCCAAATTCCACACTTCCCAATAGAAATCTGTTTTAAAGTTTTGCCACTTGGTGGTTCCACAGTCACCCAGACTTCTCCTAGAATAAAATAAATGAATAAATAATTAATTAATTTTTAATCTATAGATATTTTCAATTTTCTTGAATATCAAAACAATTTATTAAACTAAAATATAACCTGTTGGCTTGAAATCAGTAATTCCCAATCTCCAATAAGCTGATCCATTTCTACCAACAGCCCAAACTTGATTGTCAGGACCACAGCTTATACTTGCAAGAGGTTGATCACTAGGTACATGTTCCCATGCTGTACCCTTGAACAACATATATGAATTTATAATTAGATCGCTCAAGAATTTAAAAAATATTTAATTCTGAAAACTCTTCTAATTTGCTTTTAATGCGTGGCTAAAACATATTTAGGGAAAATGCCTTTTTTTTATCATATAAGTTAGCTAGATTTTTCAAATGAATCTCAACAAATGGCATCTTTGAAGATTCATTTTTTTGATTTTCTATTTTGTCTTTTTTGCGATTAATGTCTATTTGAAAATATATTTCATTATTAATTATCAAGGGTGTTAACCCAGCAAAAAATTGGAGGAGTAAACGGCTGCTGAAATTCATGGTTCTCGCCAGGTCAGGTTGAGAAGGCAGAAATAGAATCTTTCAAACCATGAATTTAGTTAATTTTATATATATTTTGACCTAACTAAGGGACTTCTTGATTTTGTAGAAAAAAAACGACATAATTTTTATTATGGCCCATTTTGTTGTTTGTTTATTTTGCTAGATATCATCACTCAACTGGAAGAAGGGGGTAGCATTTAGTGAAATTATTGAATCTTGTGGTTGATGCTGAACATCAGCTTAAGAAAGTGCCCTGGATGGGCAGCCATTGCCAGTCATTTGCCAGCCATTTTTAGAGATAATGGTGCCAGAAAAAGTAGAATCATGTTTAAAATTCTGATTAACAAAAACTTAGAGATATTTAAAAAATTCTAGAGGACAACAATTCAGTTGTTGCAGAAAGGATCCTTCCGACCCATTGTATTTATGATTTACTCCAGTAAGCATTATCGAAACAGCATGCAAAACGGTAAGACATATAAAAAGAATGCAACCAAGTAGATTTCCCAAGATTGTAATGAACAACAGATCAAAAGGAAATAGAGGACCCAGCAAGGAAACAGTGGGAGGACAAGGAACACCTTAACTAGAGTAGGGAAATTTTGAAAACAAGGAATAGGTCATGGAACCTAAACCTTACTTATGTTGAGAATGATGATGACAAATTTCCGTTAATGATGAGTTCTTTCAATTGAAGGATGTTTTATCTGACAGACACAATTAAGCACAAAATATTAAGAAAACACTTACTTCTTTTAGGTAGCCACAATGTTTTGAAATTTAAATATTTTGTCACAAAATTTATTTTTCACCAAAGATTTTTGTTTCATTGAAACCGATTGAGGCAGAGGGTGAGAGAGGGAGTGAGTGTTTTTTTTTTTTTTTTTTTTTTTTTTTTTTTTTGCCTATCTTTTTAAAGTTCCAGTTTCTATTTATTAGTATTCAGTAGACAGTTTAATAGGTACATACAGTAGGACAAGATTGGCTAACGCCTCTTCTAAAAACAACATCTCCATTTGCAGCAACAGCCCAAACTGATACTGGGCTGTCAAGTTCAGATGGATTGTTCACCTGAAATGAAAAATGGTAAATGTTTCTAGAAAACCTGAGACATTTCTATTTATTTTGGTTCATGGACTGGAAGCACATTATTAATTGCACATTTTTCTCTAAAGTTTCTTTTTTGAACAATGTGTTTATTGTTAATTTCAAATATTTTTTCTAACTTGCAATAATCACCTTTAATAAAAATCTAAAAAATGCTTGAAAGTGTTTAGTATGAGATTTGTCATTTGAAAACTGTATTTAAGTTATGAATAGTGTATTAAGCCATGAACTGAAATGTCAACATTGGACTATTTTACTCACATTGCAGAAAAACATTAAACTAACTGACCAGACAATTCTTTATGTGCTTTAATACTATTCTAATGCATTAATTAAAAACTCGAATTTGGATTTAAGTCACATTCCACTTTTTTCTCCCTTATTCTCAGAGAAAAATGAGTATTTTTTAAAATAAGGGAAATTTTGTGCTGATGATACTTAGGCCACAAAATTCTTACATGTAAAGAGACATCGACTAGTTTGGTATTGCCCAACTCTTGCCAAGGCCCACTAGTTGTAAGTCGGCACTTGCGTACCCAGCGTCTCCGCCTAACATAGTCTGTGAAGTGTTTTTGTGCGTGATAGGTAGCAGGAAAGTCCATTGCATACTGCCATCCTTCTTTATCGACTCCTCCTGGCGTATGGAAATCCACAGTCCAGTCAGTTACCTGTTATGAACAATAAATCATCTAATAATCAAATATTTAAAAGACAATAGTAAATAAAAAGCTTGATATAATGAATTATCAAGAACTCAACTTGAAAGAAATTGTCCATTCATTTAACATGATTCAATTTATTAAAGAACTAGAGGTGCTGCAATGTAGCACAAATACTCTCGAATTATTTTTGATGATTCTGTACAATGATATACATTATATTGTATATTTTATGAACTCCTAATATTTCAGAAATGTAGTCCAAAACTATCTTCATCAAACAGCTTGAAACAGAGAACACCATATCTATTTTCTAGTATTTAGTAAAACCCACTTTATAAATAAAATTGGCCATCCATAGCCAATAGTGTGCTTACAAACCCTCATTCTATACTACAGATATTTTATACTACAGATATACAGATATATTACATTGTATAAACAAGAATGTTAAAATAAAACTATATAATATATGAACCAGACTTCAATAAAAAGCTGACACTGATTAATTTTGAGCTACTGCAAAGGTGATTCATTCATTATGACTACATTCTATTTCAATCTAAGGAATACGAAAAAAAATTAAAATCACAATAGAAAATAATATTTGCAAAAATTATTATTTTAAATGACACTTGTTTACAGACAAAGTTACTTGCAAAAAACGCATATAATTGATATGTATTAAGCAATGCAAATTGCATCTTAACTGAAATACATATATGATTTTGTTAATTTTATCGTTTTAACCTGGGAAACCTGTTCTTTTGAGATAATGTCATTTTATTCATCACCATCTATGTTCCATGTACTAGAAAATTTATTTACCCATTGCCAATGCATTGAGAGCAATTTCGTTTTCTCTCTTGTCCTTTTATGTCTCCCTGTGACATCACTCCACATGTACCGATCAGTGGGTAAACCATGAGAAGTATATCCAGTTAGAGGATTCCATCGTTGGTTCTCATAAACATAGAAGCAATGAGTGTCTGCCATAGGATTAATACCAGTGCTGCTGGTTTCCAAACCTGCAACAAAAACAGAAAATGACACATATAGATTCAAATGACATTATAGATTCAAAGGTATTTTGAAAAGATTGATAATCTGAGAAGAAAATTCAAATACCTTTTAAAAATGATCCTCCCCAACCACCTGTGTATACCCAAGCTGTATTATCATACCCGATTCCCCATGTAACACCTACAGCACATGTTTCTACACGCCGAAGATGACCTCCCATTTGCCTCCAGAACATTTCAACTGGAGGTACAATTACCTGTACATTGCAAATCATTAGAAAAATGACCAAAAACTGAAAAAACTCAAGAGAAAAGATTTTTACCATTTTTGATTTGTAGATGACTTTTGTAACTGTTACTCCTCCATATATATAAACATGAGTGACATTATGTGGTTTCTGTCGATGCTCAAAATAGGTAAATATTTTGTTGTCAATAAGAATCTGAAAAAATGATTAATGTGGATCATCAAAGGAATGTGTGGGAGGACTATTGGTGTCAAACTAAATTCAGCGTGCAAGAAAATATTATTTCCTTTTCCAAATCTCTTTTTGCTCTAATGAAATAGTGATTATTATATCGGACTTACGATCCCAAGTCGAAAACTAAAACCAGGCCAGTACCCATTTATAAAGCTTGCAAACTCCTGGGTTAATAAAGTTTGCAAAAAATGATTTGGAACTACTGCCCTACACAAAGCAATAACTAACTTTAACCAAGAACAAGTTGCACATCTGAGGAAAGAATATCAAAGCTTTCACCGAATAGCAACCCTGTATCTGGATAGAAGACCCCACTGTCCCACCATCACCTTCCAGTCTTCAATTTGTCCTTACCTTATATCCATCTGTTTCACACTCAATTGTAATAGTGAACTCCACTCCTGGTTTCAAGAGCAAAGGTCCTTCTGTTTCCTCTTCTCCCCAACAGCCAGCTGCCATGGAATTTCTCACTATGGCATTGTCTTTGAAACGAGGGTTGAAATGAAGAGCTACATCATTAGCATTCTTGTCAGGTTTGTTTTTTGTTAAAGACAGACACTGCAAATTGATGGCAAACCTATAACACAAATAAATCATTAACTACTGCACATATATTTATCAAAGAAGAGAATTTTATCTTAATCAAACCTTTCTACAGCATCATGAGGAGCTCCAATCACAGTCATTACAGTTCCTGGTGGAAAACCATTATGTAGACTCACTTCATACGGTGCAGAAGTGCCTGCCAAATCTGTCTCTTGTTCATAGAATTCTCCTTTCATTTGGGAACTCTGTAAGACAAATATATACTACTATACTACAAAAACTATACATAATGTTCTGTGGCAAACCTCTGACCGATTGCACCCCTCTAGGAGGGTCCGACTTTGTTCACATTACGATTATTTTCTTGGCAATATAAAGAATAATTGTGTTCACTGCTCCGAATTATTAATTTTAATACCCCTGTTCATATTCTCGTTAACCATATTATTAAAACAATAAAAGACATGTTAAGAACCAGAATATATACAATATGTACATTCAACTTTTTTGCTTATGATCATGGAGTAGTAACGGATAAAATACTGTATGTCACACAAAAGTAAAAAGATTGTATGAATAAAAGCAATCCACCTCATGGATTCAACTTTCTTACTTATGAATAAAACCTTATTTTACTCTCTTACACCATAAATTGTTTTCTTTAATGTAGAGTAGGTGCATCATACATATTTTCTTTTCTATTCCCATTGAAGATGAATGTTTTAATTTTAATGATTTCTTATTTAATCTCTTCATATAAAATTAGCCTAGTAATGTGAAAAGATTTTCTAGTGTAGCTCAACAATTTAAAGGGTAAATTTAAATTTCTTAAATGAAATAAAGAATGAACTTACTTCGAATACTGTTGGATCAAATACAAATACATCTCCAAGGGCAGTTGTACACCACATAGAAGCTGGATTGGGTGACCCATGAACATTATTCATCTGACAACAAACTGTAAAAAAAATGTGTAAGGACAGTGTTAAAAACATGATCATACAGGGCCTCTATTTACAATAGAATAGTGTCCAGAGGCCTCTTGGAAGTATAGCAACTCTGAGAGAACTGGAAGGAGGAGTTACCAAATGCCAAGCCATTGCATATCATTGGCTGCAAGGAAGGTGCAGTGAACAGCAATGTGGTATAAAGATGTTTGTTAATAGCACAGCAACAGTTATGATTGCCACATAATTCTCCATTTTACCAGAGGAAGGGAAGGAGAGGCTAGGAGAGAGAATGAAAATCCCTTATATTTTCTAGCGCCATCACTCTCTGCAAAGACAATGTAGTAAATGGTAAAACTTTTTCCAACACATTCATATATAAAAATTAATTATTCAAGAGTTACAGGAAAAACTTGAAAACTACTGCACAAATCCAACAAACTACCATGTCTGCAACACTTAAAATACTGAAATGAAAAGAGATGCATTGAAAAAAAAAATTATTTCATAAAACTTGCACAAGCACTTTAGTGCAAATCACGATAAAAGAAAAGTAGAAAAAGAACATAATTTTGCTTTCCTTGAACAAATATTTTGCATATCATTTTTTGTTTAATGTTTCAAATTACTAGTAACACAAAAAGTAAAGTAAGAAATGAACAATCACTCATGGAAGAGATTTCTGTACACTATGAGAGACCTGTGTAATTTCCAGAGGAAAATGCACATGAATTTGTGTAGAATGGCTAATAAAGCAGATTATCAGGAAGAATTCTGGACCTCTCCACAAGATACCTATGCTTTGCAGTAACCACTCTTTTTGGGAAAACCTGTGGTGGTGGGTCATCCAACACATTTTGCCCTTCTATGAAAAGAAGCCATGGACACTATGTTCAACTTTATATGGAATGCCCTGTATTTACCATTGTCAACACTCTTATCATCTTTCATCATTCTTATCTCAACTTCTAATATATATTGTATTTAGTTTTACTAACAATAGATTCCCACAGTCAAAACAAAAACTTTTAACCAAGATATTTTTAAGTAATTTGACATTATTTCCATTCTCCCTTGTAAAAAGGGTAAATTATTATGTTGTATTATCTTCAAAAGGTATCACAATTATTATCTCTGAATATGTACATTTCTTTAGGTTTGAACTTAAAACAAATTTCTGTCACATGTACTACAATCATCTTCTGTCACAAGCCAGTATTCACAGCTGCTGTCCCTTGAAAGCAATTTTTGAAGGACCATGAAAAACAACTTATCTGTCAGTTAACCGTAAATTGGCAAGCTAATTCCATAGGAAAGCTATTTATTGCAAGGTCACTAAATTTAAAGAAGAAACCTCTCAAGAGCACAGCTGGACATAATTCACTGTCATGAAAGTACCGTATAACTAGTAGGGTTTTAAATAAATATTTAAATGAAATTAAGTAAGTTCATTTTTTTTTCTTCTTCTATACAACAAAACCTAAGATCTGGATCACCTGAAGTCAGATTTGCCATCCAATCTTCCATTTCTGTATCTCCTGTGAACTGCAACTTAACACAAGACGTTTGATTCGTAAGAGATGGAGTGTGAATTGCTATTCGAGGATGGGAAGGTTCGCTGCAGCAAACGATACATGTTATTTCCGACAGACTGAACTGGACCTGAAGACAACAACAAACTCGATAAAAGTGATGCATTTCAGCTGACAGCAGCATATATATAGCAAGAAAAATTTGGGATCCAAATAACCTTTGTCTGTGTTCTTTCTGGACTCAAAATAGTCAAAGTTCCAGAGTCTAAGCTACCTTTGTTGCTACCAACCCATTCCAATTCAAGTACACAGTCTTCCAAATGATTTAAAGAGTCTTTTAATATACAACGAGCATCTCCTGTTTTCACCCAAGAAGCCCTAAAGCAAAAAAGGTTAACAGATGTAAGACAATTCAGTACAATGAAGACATATTTTTAACCAACCTTTTTGCAGCTTTTGCACTTACATTTCTATTGCTTTTTCATAATTTTCAAAACCAATTAAATGTTTATCTCGTCTTTGTAGTTCCTGCAATATTTGTACACGCCAGGGTCGAGTAAGTTCCACATCTCCTGATAATGGGTTCTCAATAAACCTTTTGAGAAAACAGTAGTAATATACTGAATATGCAACAACCAATATAAGCATTAAGATTCTATATATAACATTATTTAGTATAATGTTATATAACACTATAAAGTATGTGTACATAAATATTATCAATAAAATATATTAGTACTAATTGACTAGTGACTCATTGATACACATAGTTAATTTCTGAAATAATAAAGAACGATTACAAATGGTAAGTAAAGGATTTCTAGATTAGGTTACGTTTCTAGATTAACAATGATATATGCATCTCGTATTAATATACAAGCCTACTCATATGGAAAGATTAAATGAAACCGACTTTTTGAATAAGTGCAGCATTTAGAGCCAAAGAAATTAAATCTATTCAAATATTACATGAGAAAGTGGTGCTTCAGACTTATGAACATAAGAGCAGAGGATCAAAAACAAAATACATTATACATCCACGAACATAAGAGAAAAAGACCATAAACAAAATTTCATTATATAACCAATTAACGTAGAAAAACATTATCAAAATACTCACCAGTTTGGAGGACACGTAGGATCAATTAAAACCGCACCAGCAGCTACTGTGCACCATACAATGTCAAATTCTGCCCAAAACATTTCTCCATTGGCATCATCATCTTCTCCAAATACGCCAGAGTCACCAGATGTATCTGGGTCAAAAACACTTCTATCCGATTCTGGGTGAGCCTCCATGCCGACCATTGAACCAGCACTTCTAACTGGACTCCACACAGTAGGATTTTTCTTTATACCATCTGGTCCTATTTTTGAGTGCAGTTTTACACCATCTTCAGTGTGTTCTTGGATGGCTGATATTGAATTGATTGCTCCTGTACTCCCATGTGCAGAATTTGATTCTTCGTCACCTCTGTGAGAAGATATGACTGATTAATAATAATTAAAGGAATTTCTTTTGAATCACTGATGACAGCAAATATACAAGACAATTTTGAATAACCATTCAAAAGAAAACAATATTCATAAACCATATGTAACTTCTACTTAATGCATCTGCCAGATTATTTACACAAAATTTTGTGACTTCACAATAAACATAGGGCAGTTTTAGTTTCATATGTATAAAGTCACAAGCAAAGTCAGTTGATGATTCAGCATCCAACAAAAAAATGGCAGGGCTAATTTAAGTAGCATTTATCTTTATCTGTAAATAATTTTCAAACATTTTAACTCGCATTCAAATTAGACTGACACACAGTTCCAATGAACTTTTCAGAGTAGATAAAATTCTTAGATCAATTTGGAAACACTGGAAAACATTGGCATCAGCTTGTGCATGTTTTTTTAAGATGACGAATGAAGTAAATTACATGAACTACTTAACTGTTAACCTTAAATAAGAAAAATATCCCTAAACATAGGCCCTCTTTTATCTGGGCATGTCCCCATTGCGAGTCTTGCAAGCCCGAACGTTATGCCAGGGAACAAATTAGATTACATGCATCGACTTGCAATAAGATAAGTGAGAAAGATATATCAGTTTGGAATTCCCAAGGCTTCTGTCAGCCCACTTCACCAGCCTGCTGCTCTGACCCTTGCCTGTCAGAGTATGACATTTCACTGCCCATGAATTATTTGTCTGGATCAAAAAGAAGCTAATAGATGGCAGTTCAATGGAGGAGATTCTTCCCCTGCTGCCTTCTGGCTGCTTTAAAGACATTTCCTCTTCTGGGAGCTGGTACTTTGAGAGATATGGATGATTAACATATTAGAGGAGGAAAAACAGAGTTTTTCTCCTCACAGATTTTTCAATTGATTTCTTATATCTTAAAAGCATGTATCAAAATTATTTTTTATCAATGTTATCAACTCAAAAATCATACATTTTTCATCAAACCATAAAAGTTAATATTTTATTTGGTAATTACATCCTGAAGAAGAAAATGTGAGGAAGGTGTCCCTGCCTTTGATTACCTGAGAAATTGTCATTGGAATACATTATTAAATGGAACAATGCTTTACCTCACATCCTGCTGGGATGTACTGTTGCTCTCAGTAATAGACTCCTCTGAGCAGTTGGCTTTGCTGGAAGTGGCCGAGGTACCATCTGTACTCTTCTGCCACAAGCGGAGAGAAGTGGGGGTGGGTGCAGAGCGTGATGTTTCACCAAATGCCTCCCAATCTTTGAGGGGGCCAGGGGCATCTCCAGAACCGCTATTTCGAGGTAAAGATGTCCAACTGCGTACCCGCTGCTGCCGAGGTGTGCCACTCAAGCTCTCTCTGTGCCTCACTGACCAAAGGCTGGCATTGCTGCTTGTGCGGCTTAGCTGGGTGGGTGCCTGGATGGCTCGCCATTTCTTGCCTGTGAGTTCAGATGGCAGAACACTAGTTCGGAAGTAAAGGCAACGGTCTTCACTTCCAACTGCCCACACCTATAAAATTGCTTTGCTGTTGACAAAATTCATTTTGTACAGCAATAAATGCATTTTGTTTTCACCACACCTGATCATTTGCAGCAACGGACACCAGAGACATATTGCCAACCATTTCCACCCAACCAGAACCTCTTGCCAGTTCTTCATTCATTCCAGAACCTTCCCCTCTAATCCCTTTCCGAAACCACACACGATGGTCCTGAGTGACAGCCCATACTGCATTTGTTCCAACCGACACCTGAATTAACTTCAAAGATTCATCAGGAGGTAGAACTTCAATCCAAGCCTCACCTGGACAATGAGACATTTATCACATTACATACTTCACCAAGGGCATGGTTTACATAAGCCAAGACCAATTTCTTATAATACAAATGACCAATACTAATTCTACATGGAAAACCATATAAATTCTCTCACAAATATTCTTGATTAATAATGTTAACCCTTCAATGAGTAATTGGTTGGATGTAATATCATTCCAATGCAGGTTACTGGAAAGTGGCTCAGTGAGTTATCTTGGCAACAATATGATGGATGCTTTGCTCAGGTGATCCTCAATGCCTACACAGCATCCTGTCAGAAGGGAAAACCCCTTACCCACAATTAAAGTGAAAGGACATCTTGTGCATAGAAGGCATATATATACATTTCCAATTTACAGCAACATCCACGTTTTACCACCAACCTTTATAAGCTTTTTCTCAAGTTTTATCAGCTAACATTTGCCCTTTGTCTACTGGCCCTGTATGCATTCCTCTAGGCCAAAAAGGACATGGAAAAATCATATCTCTATGAAATTAAATAGTGTACAAAACATGCTTGGTTTTTATTACAACCTAATAAGATTAAACTGAAACCACAGATGAGGTCTGCAACATTCAAAATATGTATGCATTACAGTATTACCAGTGGGACTATCTCTTGTTACTCCAGTTCTAACAAGGGCCCTGCCATTCCAAAGCACAGCCCACACTAGACCTGTGGCCCCTACACTTATTTGGTTAACTTCACACCCTTGTGGTACATTCATTACTTGCCATCGCAATCCCTCTGGAGCTGTAGTGCTCACACCGGTTCGAAACATCACCTAAACATAGAGAAAACTTAGAAAATTTCCATTTAAACACATCAACATTACACAGAAAAAGATTTAACATTTAACGTTAAACATGTTTCTCCATTTGAAAACACACATAAATCCAACTGAATAATTATTCAAAATTTAACTTACCCGGCCATGGGCTGTAATGGCCCAAACAAGTAAAGTACCTGGATTCCCTCCAGGTATGTTTTGTCCCCCTATTGCAACATCAATGAATGGTTCCTGCACAACAAGGAAATTTGTAACCTCCTGCAGTAAGAAAGATAGTAAAAAGAAGAGGAAAGAAAGCTTCCTTAGAACCTTTATAAAATAACTGAAGAGGGTCAACAGAAATCTTTTCTTTTTTCAAAGGACAATCATTAATTTTTCACACGTTTTTGAAATTTATTGGAAACCAACTCTAAATATCATATATTTGTAACCTCTTATATAGAAATTACAAAGGTGCTCATACACCAGATTCTCCTTTCATAATTTTTGTCTTGATCCACACACATTTTCCTTGAAATTGAGATGAAATTATAAGTTTTCCAAATTTATATAACCAATGTTACTATTCTAAATTACAATATATTGAAGTTTTTCATTTTAACTCGTACATTAAAGCAAATTTATTACATCTTAAGGGTATTAAAATATTACGTTTGAATTTGAGTGGCTTACGCCCATTAAGTGTCCTTTGATTGACTTACAGAAAATCTGGCAACCCTGAGAAAATAAAATCATCAAAGGTTTCACAAATACCTGAGTGGGATCTTTGTGGAGGGGAGCTACTGCACACCAAGAATTCATTGCAACGTATCGACGATATCTTATCCATTTTCTCCGCCTGACACAAGATTTCCATTGCTTCTTGGCATGAAATGTAGCAGGAAAATCAACAGCGTAAGTCCAACCCTAAATGTTAGAAAATAAAAACTATTAACAAGGGATGAGTAAAATCACATCAAAATAGTTACTATCATCATCATCATCATCATCATCAAGTACTGCTGGAAGAAAGGCCTGAGGTCTGAGTTTCATTTATTCATATTTCTATTATTATCTTCATGCTTAGCTGTGAGATATCATAATGTTAATAAACATTATTGTACTTTAAAATCTCTAATGTTTAATTATGTGAGGTGCTCGAGGACACATACCCTTTACCTTTTTTAATACTCTGGAGAAAAAACACATTCTAGTTATATTAAAGGGAAAAAATGAGAAATCAATTATTTTATTCATCCAAAAGGTATGATTGTATCTACATCTGGAGTATTTTTAGTTGTATGTTGATAGGTCTATTTCAATACATTACACTTTAGCAAAAGATCACAAAGAGTACCACTACTCTTTTACAGAAAATTAGCTTATAGTATTACATTAAGTATTTATCTACATCTAATTCGCATTTCCTCTTTAAATTAGAAGCTGTATGAAGAAGTCTCTGCTTATTATTTGTAATTTATTTTGGTTGTATAACAATAATATATCATTCTTAATTATTAGTTAATTTAAAAGAACTTTGATTTAATTACTGCCTCTTTAAAGTTTGATTAGTAATCCAGTTCTATATTTTACATAGCTTTGGAAAATGTATTTTATGAAATTGAAATTAAAATAACTACAAAAGCAACAATAAGTTTAGTTACATCATGGTCCAACGGTTGGCCATCGAGGGTTGTTTCACGATGCCACTCTCCCTCCCATTGCCATGCCATAGAAGGTAATGTCACTTTATCAAAACTCCTGTCACGTGTGCCATCTTGACTAGAATAATGATAGCGATCTGTAGGCAGCAGCCGACTTGAGAAACCTTCTACTGGCAGCCAACGCTATTAAAGAAAATTCACATTACACTTTTACTGAAAAAGGTTGTGCTTCATAACTAACATAAGAACTTTTCCTCTACAAATGGGTTAGTACCTCATTTTCATATGATTCTTCTTTAATTCTGATGGGAATATCCAAACCATGGACGTGAACATAAATCTGCCTATCCCCTCCAACAGCCCACATGAAATGAGGAACTGCTGAAAGATGTTTGAATTCCAAACCTAAGTACACAAATTCTCTCCATCTTGTGCCAGTAGTAGACAGGCCAAACACACGGCCCTCATTATTGATAGCAAATAATAGAGAGCTAGGCATTTTAAAATGCTGTTGTCAAATTATAAATACTAGAGAATACAATCTGGCTTCTTGAAAGCAAGTGGATGCACACTAAAACAAACAGATCTTTTTACCATCAACAATAAAATTATATAAGTAATATCATTCATTGAGAAATTAAATACAATTTCTGCACAGGTTCTCTGAAGAAGTAGCATTTCTTACATTATTGTGAAGAACGATGAGCACCGTTTTGTATTTATTTCTGAGAGAATAAGTATCATTGTTCCATATTTTCATTTCACAAAAACTTAAAACATCCTGTTCTCCACAATCGTTTTCGTCATTGTAGAGAAGTAATCACGACATTTCAGACCATTTTTAGAACTGTCAAAGTGCAGCAGCACAAGACAGGCAGCGCAACTCAGAACACCGTGTTGGTCGCCCTCATCACATCCCCTCCAACCCCCTTAAAAACCTTACCGCCCCGCCCCTCACCACCATTCGCCACTCCATCCAACTCCAGTTACAGGCCGCCTCGCTATAGCACAGCACACCCCATTCGTTCTACGGCCAAGGAATATTGTGCTATCTTTTAGTCAATATCTGAATCATGGAATCAGTTCGCTTTTACACATACAGAGCGCAGTGTTCGCACTTCATACTAATATACGAATATTAATACTAATATACGAAACAATATTCATACGAATATTGTTTGTTGTTATATGAGCGGTTTATTCGACCCTCATTAGGAAGTCGTCATAAATTACGTAACACCAAAGAGAATGGGAAGGGGATTTGAGACATTGTTACGCTGCGTTACTTGGAGATAGAGGATGTTAGCTTAGTGTAACGTAACATTGAATTATTTTTAATTTTGTCTACATCAGGTGAAACAATTATTTTTTGTCTTATACCAAAACAAAATATTAATTAGTGACTTAAAAACCTAAATAAATCAAAGTTATTGTGAGTAATTAGTTACAATAAATGTAATATTTTTTTTTATATTTTCATTGAATCTGTAAGATTACGAAGAAAATATTAAAAACTGTTCTACCGTATATTCTAGAACCTAAATAAATTTGAGGCAGTAGATTGTCGCTCCTGCTTTATCCCCGACGTGTGCGCGGCTTGTAAGAAATTTTCACGATTGTGCGCCATTGCTTCACACAATACTAGTTTCCAATCTTATTGCTAGGTGAAGTCAGCATCGCGAATTAATTCAGGCTTTAATTGTCATACATTATAAAATATAACACAAATATAAATAATATAGTTTTTTTCCTTTGATGTACTTTATTTTTACTTCTTGTAAATAGCGAGAAGTGTTTTCGCAAGCGTTACGTAATTGTTTATGGGGTTTCAAGTGTGCTTTACAGGTGTGTTACGGTAGGGGGAGGGAGTATTCAAAATATCCAAAATTTGCGTTATTACAATTTATGGATGGCCCCTTCATGCCAAATTAAATTGATGGACGTAGTTGTTGGTGAGTAACGTGTAGAAATTATTCACATTCATTTCACAAACGTTGGCGAACTTATCCTATTGCTGTATTACTCCCTATTATATTTGATGACTCCAAAAAATCAAAATATAAATAAATGTTCATACTATGCTAGGTACTTTTTAGAACGACCGCACAGAACATTTCATATGCATGCCAATATCACTATTACTAAAAATTGAAGGAATCAGCGGCGAGGCGTCCGGGGCACTAACAATATTATAAAAATATACTATAATTATAAAAATAATACATTTTCAAAGTTTTAGAAAATAATTGAACATTTGTAATAATCTACAAAAAATGGTAAGTGGTAATAATAAAAACAGCTGAGAGCCATGAAACAATAATTAGAAGCATGAAAATGATCCACCAATATTAGTCTTCGAATTGAGAACTCACCGCTGGTTTATTTTAAATTAAAACTTGGTGACCAGGACAAAGTTTGGGCTCCTCGTGGTGTATGTAAGCGGTACGTCGCAGATCTTCGTAAACGGTAAGTTAAAAGCTTTACGATTTGGCATTCCTATGATGTGGAGCGAGCAACAGAATCATGTGAGGATTTCTGTTCCTGAGATGACATTCAATTCAAGATATTGCAGCAATATCAAAGTAAATAAAATCATCACGGACCCAAGAAACTCGTCGCTACTCACGTCGTTAGATTTAAAGTGGAGGCAGTGAGAAGGCCGTGCGTCACCGACCTTTGTGCAGGATTGGGAGCGGGACTTGTCCCACATCCACATATATTTGTCCGACGGGGAACACGAATCCCCTGACAGTTTGCCTAGATTATTGTGGTACTCACGTCGGCGGCTTCAAGGTCGAGGCAGTGAGAAGACAGGTTGGGGCCTCGGTCCACGTGGCTCTCAGATGGGCTGTTGGTTTCATCGTTGCAATGCTCAATACTCTCGGGTAATAAAGAACGAATTTGTCCCGGCGTATAGTGAGTGATGCTTAATTCGACTCCGGTGCTAGCCTGGAAAGGTAGAAATTCTGAGCTTGCAGGGTGGCCTGACCCAGACTTAATTGGGTAGGTTCCCTTGAAGGGTTTACTGCGCCCGGGTGGGATCTGGATTCCAGCCTGACGGAGTACTTGTGTGCCGGAAGGGCGAACGGATAAAAGTCTAGAGTTAAGGTGTCCATCCTGGGGTGTAATCTCCCCGGTAGAACAAGAAACTGTGTGGGATAGTTGCCCACGCAGGGCGCGTGCTGCACCCGCACACTAGAAGTATGTCGTTTGATGTTTCGAAATGCCACAAGCCCTACAAGGCGAGTGCCTTGACTGCAGAGATGGTTGTAGATTTGATATGTGTTCCATTTGAAGTTTCATTGAATGCTCTTGTCCTGTGGTGGCTCGTGCTTAGTTTGCACGGTTCAGAACATTGAATATGCAACTTAACATTAACATTTTTCTCCTCATATAGAAATATATCACGAAACTGAATTCTCATAACATTCATGTTAAAAGAATGAATTGGTTCACAGACCAGTCTTGAATATGCTAGTTTGTATATTTTTTTTATTTAATGTACAGCCTTTTAAAGAACGGGTAATACTGTATAAATCTTTAACGATTTATTATTATAGTTTCATTGTTGCTAAAATGTTACGTAATTTATACTTGCTGTAGCCTAATGAAATGGACCAGCACTGTATCTCCCCGAATCGCTGCCAAACATTACTATTAGAACTCACAATGTTATTTACATAAGAGATACAAGACTGCGTCCTGGAATTTTGTTTTTCCAATTTCAAGTCGGTTATTAAATCTGATGGCCATAATTTTTTGTGAGGAACTGGACGAAAAACATGATCGAGAAGGGGTCATCGACCCAGAAGCTGCGATACTTGTTACATGCACATTTAGCGTTTAAGAATACAATCTAAGTGAAAATTAATACATCATTGTTAAAACCAATATAATTTTCCTTTCTGATGCTCAGTTTAGTCTTCAATTGCATAGAAACAATTATGCAGCAGAGAAGAAATTACTAGTCACTTAAACTTGTGTGTTGCAATGATTTAATGCCACCTGGCGGCGTGTTGTAAAATAATGAAGATATCAGTGGTGCCCCAACAAACCACAGGTTGCCGAAATTCAGTGAACTAATATATAATGTAAGCATCCGAATTAATAAAAGTACATGTAATTAGTCTATATTGAAACATTTCTTGCATGATTTTATGCGTAGTTTCCGTGTAAAGTATATTCACCTCCCGTGTACGTGGTTCTGGCTTTGGTATCCAGAGGACAACCAAGTATTTGAATTACTTATGAATTGAGACAATTGATGGTATTCATACAAAACAAAAAAGAACTTGGTTTCGAAAATACGGTGATCGCACTCCAGTACTAGGCAACAACCACTATTGTTTGGACACGTTTTACACAAATAAAACTAATTTATTTACTAAATTTCACTACCCTGGTATGTATTGTAATAATGAAAGTTCTTCCATACACACTCGCATTCACAACTTTCGCAGACTGTAACTGCAACCGAAAATACGCAGCCACCTTGAGACAGAAAGGGACTTCCTTACAGAAGGGCCAACTTTACACAAAGAACTCATCAAATATACATTTTGAATCAACAAACCTAATATCAAAAGAAAATAAATTCTCCAAACATAATAAATTCATTCAATACCGACAATAATTGACGGAACTTGTGTACTTTCAATAACAATTGAATTTCAATCCATCAAATTAAGTTACAGTTAGTGTCAGGCAGAAAATTAGTATTCTCCTCAATCTCCACGGCTCGCCCCCACCCATGGAAGAAGCCTTTACCGCACCGAAGGCCCTATTTTGAAGCGTAGAGCTAAAGAGCGATTGCACCAAACGCAGTAATAGATCGTGAAATTGTTACAAGGTCTGGGAGTCGAGAGCAGGTCGAGAGCGCCAGATGCAGAAGAGAGAGCTCGTTGGTTTCTAAATTATTTTATTTACTTCGATATTGCTGCAATATCTTGAGTATTGAATGTCTTTAAAACGAAAATGTATATTCCTAATACATTATAAAATAACTTTTTCGATTATCTGAGAATTGTGCAACTTAAGCACGAGCCCCCACTGTTATACTATACGCGCACGTTTTCTTCAGCCCTGACATACCTGCCCCCACTCCTTTACTAATATTAGTTGAATTCAGAATATATGATAGCAACAAGTTTTGTTGACAAACTCTGATAACCAGATGTGTTTGCTCCTGCCTAATAGAAAATATTCTGCATCGAAAAACGAGCTACAGTTTCATATAATACTCCTGTCAATAAAATCATCCCCCCCACTCCTCTCTCATCTAGCGAAATGAGGACTCAAGAAAACGTACGTGGATAATACATGTGTATGGGGGTCGGTATTCTCCCATTTCGATGTTCCACGTTTCTCGGCGAAGCCTGTATAAGAAATCAGTGGCGGTGGTCTTATCCTCTATTGTAAGGAATGGACTCCAAGCATGACGAGATCGGTGAAGGAAAGCAAACAATTAATGACGGGAATGATGACGTTCAGTATCGTAGTTAAAATAAGAATTGCGCTTTTTAACAATTTCATAATTGAATAAAAGAGAATTTTCTCCAAGTCTTTCGCCAGGCTCACGGATGTTTGATGTTAAATAGGTAAGCTGGAAACCGGATCCTCATAATGAAATTCGACAGGCCTAGTGATGCCTGACTTACAAGTATTCAAAAATAAAAACACACAACTTTAGAACAAAACGAGTTGGTAATTATGTGTTAGACAGATACAATGATGTTCTGTACTTACCTTTAGAATACCATTGTATTAAAGGTTCCATTCCATACAAAGAGGGAGGGGCTGTAGAACGCATCGCTTAAATTTTTATTTTAGATGTTCTTAACAAGTTGATAATATACATGACCACTCATTTAAGCAAAATAATTATTCAAATTTTTTTTCTGTATATGAAAAAAAAAATTGATTTTCTCCCTCAATATTTTAATTTAATTTTAAAACCTGTTACATTTTTTTGTCCAATATGAGTAGATGTATCTTCATAACGTAATAATGTAGTGTAGTCATTTATTACAGTAAGTTAATTTACTTATTAATTTATACACATTGTCAGTTAATATAATTGGCACTACAGTATATTCTGCTAATATCACACACGCTTTTATGTAGTAAGCTCAATTATTCATTAATTATCTAGGATCCAGGGACGGATCCTGTCAATCATTGGGGGACAAATATGTTGCCAAATAATGGGATGTAACATACAAAAACTCTAGGCCTGGGGGGAGGAATGCCCCCCTGGTTCTGTCACTGAGGTCAAGAGTCATGTTACAACATCCTTTATGAAAAAAGTTCCTGATTTGAACATTAAAAAAATGCAGATGTTATCGGGATTGATGAAAATGGCCCAATAATTTAATTAATGAAAATTTGTCAATATGGACTTTTTCCAAATTAATTTGAGGTGAGGTAACAAACTTTCACAATATTCAACATTTCAATTGTTAGCAGTTTTTCAGGATCAGTATAAATAGTGTGTTTAAAACAATGAAACCACATGCATACGACTCTTTAATAATAATATTTATTGAATCACATATACAATTACAATCATGTCTGACAAGTCAAATATGATATAGAGAGAGTACAATCACATACATCTTCTTGGAAGCAGTGAGTGAAGTTACATTTATTTTTATTGTCTAGAAGCAAAACAAGGGGCCATCTCAACATTTGTTCAAAGGAGCAGGGAAACTGGACAAAAATCCTGGTCAAGATGGGGTCATTGGCCTAGAGATTATACTACAATACTTCTTACAGATATATTAAGGTATTATGTATTAGATAATTATTTTTAGTAGCAAATAGTTGAACATTTAACATTCTTTAATTTAATTTAAAATACTTTAACATTTGAAGATTTGTAGTTTCATTTTTCAAAATATAATTTTCTTGGTACAGTGATTTTTCTGCTACTACTTATTATAATAATAATATGTAATAGATAACATTACTATAAAATAATAATACTAACAGTACATGATAACAATTATGGTAACACCTACATATGATTTAATAGTATTAGCATATTCCTTGATTAAATCTTGTAATGGTGAGAAAGAGGCAGGTTATGGCCAGATTTTTTCCTATTTCTACACCTAGTCCTACTGCAGCACCTGAAATCACATTGCATGTGTTAGTCATTGAGGTATTTCTGAATGCTATAAAAAAGTTTTTCCCCGAGGAAGGTTTGAGTTTTTTCTTGAAGTTGTATATGCCTGTCATGTTTCTCAGATGTAGTGGTAATTTGTTGAAGAATTGTATACCTGAAGAGAACGTACTCTTTTGGTATGTGCTTGTACACATTGGGTACATGCTTGCCTTGTGTAATAGGGGTGTAAGCTTGAGTTAAATTTGTGAAGTGTGTCATTGTTTATTACATTTTTCTCTCAAACATGATAACTTTATAAATAAAAATACAAGACAGTGGAAGTATATTAAATTTTTTGAAATCAGGTCTGCAGGACTCTGTTCTTTTTGTATTTGTTATTGTTCGAAAGATTCTCTTTTGTATTTTGAACGTTTGTTTAGCCTCTGGTGATTGGCCCCATATTATTATCCCATATTTGAGAATAGAGTGCACATTTGTAAAGTATACTGTTCATGCTGTCTCAATGGTGCTGTTTCTTACTATTGTTCTAAGAGCATAATTAAGTTTGCTCAATTTTGAATTAATATCTTCTTAGGAGAGAGCTCCATTTGAGGTTGGATTGTATGGAGATTCCGAGAAATTTTGTTTTCTGTGCTTGTGTGATGCTGTTTCCTTCTAATGTTAAATTTGGTGAATAATGTTGTGTTGAGTGGGAGTTGTGGAAGGGTATTGTGATTGTTTTGTCTTGGTTTAGGATTAGTTTGTTATGGTGGATCCATTGTACTAGCTTGTCGATGGCTGAATTGACTTTGTCTTGCAAAGCTTTGGTTGTTTTCTTTGAATATTATTTTAGTGTCATCAGCAAAAAGTTTTGTTTTCCATTATTGACGGCAGGTCATTTACAAATATAAGAAATAAAATAAGGCCTAGAACGGATCATTGCAGGACCCCATAAATCACATCCCTTGGCTCCGAGTGCTGATTATTTATTTTGTTTCCTTTTTGGTAAGGGGTAAGGGAAGTAACAATTTGTTTTCTGTCTGATAGGTATGATTTTATCCAATTGTAAGCAATACCTCATATTCCATGAGATTCTAATTTTGATGAATTGTGTGATCTGTTTTGTCAAAGGATTTTGACAGGTTGAGAAAGAGATCTACAGGAATTTCTTTTTGCTCTAATCTCATGAGGATTTCATTCACAAAGGTGAATAGAGCAGTTTCAGTTGAACGATTTTCCCTGAATCCATGTTGTGAGTCAGTGATAATGTTACAGTGTATCAAGTAGTTTTTTAATCTTTCATAGAACAGTTTTTCGAATATTTTAGAAAAACCTGACAAGAGTGAAATTGGCCTATAATTCATTACATCTTGTCTGTTACCTTTTTTGTGTATATAGGGTTAATTACAGCATTTTAAATATGTTCGGAAAGGAGCCGTAGTGATTGGTTGTATAAATATGTTAATGGATAGATGATATAAGGAGCAACCTTTTTTGTTAAGAAGTCTGGAATGTTGTCAATCCCAATGGATTGTTTATTTAGCATTTTATTTATAATTTGAAGTATTTCCTTCTCTGTTGTATCTGATGTACATGTTAGAAAGAGAGTTTTTAAAGAAATGTCTCTTTCTGCAATGTCATTATCCACATGAACAATAAAAAAGTTTCTAGAAGTCAATGCATCAAAATTCATTTTCATTGCCCCCACTCTAATATCAATTCCTTTGCCTTTTAATGACATCAAACAAAATTCAATAAACATAACTTCAAATTGCGAAATTGACAAAATTTCACAAAAGGAAAATAACGAACTAGGAAATATTGTTTTTTCACATTTTCTTTATAATGGGCAAACCTACCGCAATGAGAATTTTGACAATTCATACTGAGGCACAATTTATTATTCAAAATACAGTGACAAAAAGAAATACTTATGGGCTTATTATAAGCGATTACAATAAAAAAATGTATAAATAAGGAATTCTTTTCTCTATTCTTAAAATATTAAGAAATTGAAAAGTAATGCCTGCATTTTAAACAGAAATACTTTGAAATAAATTTATGTGCATGGACAATAAAGAATGCTCTTATTTTTTCCAATTGTTTTTCAAACAAATTCAGCATTGTTTGTGCTTCCTTGGAAACGCTCACTTTAGATGTGTAGTGTAATAGCCAAATTGCATGTATCCTGCAAAATCCTAATAATGGAAACTCCCCCTGCTAGGTTCATCTCCTTGAAAGCACTGACAGAGCAAATGCTTTATAATGCTGTTGTCATTACTGAAATGGCAATGGACTTGAAGGAACGAGCAGCGTCTGGTGAAAAATATGTATGCTACTTGAGAAGTTTAGCGGTTCGAGCAGCTCGAGTAATAACAGCAATGCAGCACAGTGGGCGATCATTTATTCTTCTAGCACACAAATTATCAGCGTCCGCAATAAAAGGGATGGATGCCAACTGTGGTAATGACACAATATTTTTCAGTCTACGAAATGAATTTGAAAAGTTACTGACAATTCTGGACAAAGAACTTGCAGATATGGAAGACATTGAAACAACTGAAAATGTTTTAGCTAATGATATAAACAACATGAATTTAGCATCTATTATGGAAAAAATAAAAAATTTAGAAGCTAGGACAAAGGTATCAGACAGTGCCTTTGTCCCAGCATCAAATAGTGCTCGGAGTTTTAAATCTGATGTTGATGAAAAATATCCAGAGAGCTGGTCCAGAGAATCTTTGATAGATCTGCATAATGTTGTGAATTTACCTCCTGTCCCAGAGGACATCTTCACAGGATTTTCTAAACCTGTAAGAACTTCAAGTTTGTCGTCACTAAAAAGCTTAAGGAAAGTAAAACTATTTTTACAAAAAGCAGCAAGTTCAGAAGAAGAGGAAAGCGAATGTGAAGACTTACTTGTTTCTGTAAGTCCTGAAGTTTTAATACTCAATTTTTATATATTCAGTTTTCATTGACTTATTCATACCTTGTTTTCTTAAGTTGTGTTTGATTACAACCTATGTCAAAGTTTGTCTTAAAAAACAAATGTCACATCAATTAAATATCAATGTTTAATTTTTTTTAATAATAGATTTGCAAATATTTTTAACTGAAGTGTTTGTACAACTTCCAGGATGAACCAAGTGCTGGTGAAAAAGATACAAAGATACCCATTAAAAAACATGCAATTTTAGGCAACATTAAAGAAGAAGCGTGATTGTAAACAAGGTCACTGTATTTTAATGCAGAGACACTACATTTGTAATAAAAAAAATTATAAAAGCTACAAAATTTTATTTTACATAATTTATCCCCTAGTGTCACAGGAAGTATACAATGAATGAGTTAATCCACAAGCTACAAAACAAACATCAATTTCAAATAAGTAACACAAGAGTACACAATACAAATAACATTGTTGAAACATTCAAAATGACACAGACAGGTCTCTATCACTGACATCAGATACATTTAGAGACTGTTGAGGACTCTCTCTTTCTACATGTACAAGGAAAGGTTCACATAACGCTCTGATAAAAATATATAATGCCCAAAACAGAAAAGCACACATCATCAAAAAGAGAGGATGATAACCCCAAAACCAAAACACCAAGACTATTACACTACAATAGCTCAAAAACTGTAAACTTGCGAAACCTCGCAAAGAAAGGCGTGGAGGTAACAAATTTTCTGTTAACTGAGCAAAACGTGTATGTGCAGATTTATCATAAGTTCGAATTACCAATGGACACCACATAATTTGCCGTGCAATTTTTCCAACGATGTCGTCTCGATAATACAGCAGGGCCATTTCATCTTTGAACTGAAATATTAACATCACAGTCAAAACAAATATGCACTTTCTTTGAGTTCAAAAAGATTTCTGCTACTGTTGGACATACTTTCATGGTGAATATTTCCTACGTTTTGAGTTAATTAATTTGAAATGAATTTTCAGCCATTAAATCTTTTTCTCATCTTCATAAATATAGAGATGAAAATTTGTTGAAATTAATAGTTGAAAAACTAATTCAATATTTTCAATTACAATAAATTAATGAAAGATTAGATTTAATAAAAAATAAATGCAAACTAATGTAGCAATATCAATTTTTGAAGAAGTACTTACTACAATTTTCCAAAATTTAAAATCTGACATTTATATCATATTTTAAATAATTAAAAACAAAACAATGAAATGTGTACTAATATCTCCATGTTTTATCAGTAACTGTTTTAATACTTCAAATACAAACCTTAAAATTCAAATTGGATGTAATCATAAAAAACAGATGAACCAAAACAGCACACTCATTACTCCGAACAGGTTGAAGATCAGGATCGCCTTCATACGTGATGGCAGCTTTCCTAAATCTTAAAGTCTGGAGAGATCTTGGTGACTGATTTTCCACACCAAGTACATTATTGTTGGTAAACTAAAAAGAAATCTTGCTTTTAAGATCATATTGATATATTTCTTTATTTACAGTGAATGATATATATTTATGTACCTGATACAAGGAGCTGTATTCTGGTCTCAATAATGAGCTCACATCCTGTAATGTCATTTCAGTTAGATCTGGAAGTGCAGGGGGTGGGACCTGCACAGAAGAGTGACAGAAACTGGAGGAATAACAAATGTTCATACACACATATGTCATACACACATCTGTTAATGAAAATTTACCTTGAAGAAAACTGCAAAATTTTTTAATGATGTTTCTAAATAGAGAACAACTTTCTTCCTTTCCTCAATAGAAAACTCACTTGATTCAAGTGATGTACAAAAAAATTCTTTTAATTTTGACATAAATGTTCGAGTTTGGCCTCTTTTAAGTTTCTCTTCGTATTTCAAAAGTATGTGTGCAGCAATTGTTGCTTCAAGAACCATCTTTAATAAATCTTCTATCTAGAAGCCAAAATGTTATGAACTTCAACCTTTCTAACAATGTTCACCAAGGATATTCAAAAATGAAAAAGTAAGAGAAATACCTTTCCAGAAGCATAATCAAACAAGAAGGTATATTCATAATGGGGTCCTTCAAGTTCTTGGAGAAGCTGTTTCAGTACTGCATTCCACTTATGTCCAAATGTTGCAATAGTAGGAGAGCCAGTAATTAATTCAGGCATTGTCTCAGGTAAGCCACGGAGCTCTGAATTGAAGCCATGAGACCTAGATGCAGCCCATCTTGCTTCTTCATTTAGACAAGCTTCTGCTTCAGCCAACAACACATTTAAGTGCGGCTGAGCAAACACCTGCCAAATATTTTAGTTTTTAATGATCTTTATAATTTTGTGCATCTTGTTATGCTGTGTTCACATTTCAAGAAGAGTCCTAAGAAAACAAATGTCTAAATTTTCTAGGACTTTTCATAAATCTTTATAAGGTACAATACTAATGTTTTAATAAAATACTACAAAAATATGTTCTGAACCGATTCACAACTGAAATAGAAAACAAAATACTTTAACCAAAACTGTATAGCTATTCAAAATGATCTTCCACCTTTTCAGAAACAGATGGAATATACACAACAGAGATTTTGCCATCATTAAAACAATATCCATGGTTAGCTCTATCAACAAGTTAAATCGATTTTCATCTCAAAATGATGCAATTAATGGATTACTTTTTAAACTGTCAGTTTGTTGTTATATTAAACAGTTTATCTATTTTTTCATTACTGAATAATAGAACATAAATGATTGCTTTGAGGATTACATTTATAGTGAACGATATTAAAAGAAACTAGTAATTATAAAACCATTATCTAAAACAAATATAATTTTTAGAAATATATAATAAAAAGTAACCTCTTTTATATGAAACTTCTACAACATTGCATATGCAATTTCATTTTACAGGTAAGGAAAAGAAGAGAAGAATAACTATTATCACTTTAGTAATATGCATACAATATTCTAAACAGCTATCTTTTCATGAACTTCGAAGAACCAACATTACCTTTGATACTCGATGTAACATATGCGCATTCCTTGGAGTAGTTAGATCTAGTCTTGAAAACCGAGGAATGAGTTGTTGAAATATAATTGTATATGCAAAAAGATTTTCAACAATAAAAGTTGTCCACATATGTCGCTCTACCCCATAGAAATTTTCATCTGGATCTTTAACACCCATTGCTTGGCTGCGATTACGTTTGTCAAAATTTAGGTATCGCCAAGGCTGAATGTAGCTCAACCAAGTTTCTAGAACACCTCGAAATGAACTGTCTAATGGCCAATCTTGAATAGTTCGACGCAAAAATGTATAAATTTTTAGACGTGTCACTTGTCTAAGAGACCTCCTGATCTCACCCATGGGAGTCAAGTCACTTTCGCCAACATTAGCAAAATAATGGAAGTGCTTAACCAGCAAGCGAGCGATGCGAATTCTGTCACCACCAGGCAAATCCTAACACAAAATATGAAATCATTATTACTTCTCCATCTATTATACAAAGTAATAACAATTATAGTTTATACAAAATAATAACATAAATAACTAACTTACTCTGATTCGGGCAAAACTGTTCACCTCAATACATCCATATGTTAACCACAAGTCCAAAAATGCCTGAATCACTGTTTCTGTTCTCCAAACTTCCATGTGTGGTGTGGTTTGCGCATTTGGAGAAGAATGGAAAGATGCAGGTGGATTTGTCTTGCTAAGTATCGATTGACGGAATATGGTTGGAGTCTTCACGGGCCTGCCAAATTTTCATTTAGGAATATCATGTTATGATTACATAATAATAAAATGACATAATGTTTTGTTGGAAAACTTTGAACTGTATCTACCTACTTCTACTGATATTAAAATACACCAATATTTTACCATAATCAACTCTACAAGCTTTACCCGATTGCAATACATACATACATTTCACCAACAAACAAAAGTAAATGCCATAAAGCACTGAAGTGTAATAATTAATCATACCAAACATTTCAGATATAGTACCTATTCTTTTAGGGATCAAATTTGAAATACTTAATGCATTCTAACTTTTAACAATTAAATTACTCTAAATTTTATTTGTAATAATTTAGAATAAAATTGAACATTGAAGTAAAGCTACTATATAACGGATATTCTAGAAATCTTACTTCAAGAAACATAAAACAAAAGTTCAGGTAGTAATAGTAACACTAATAATTCTTTAAAGATTTCAGCCCTAGAATTATAGATTCCCATCGAAAGTGTTCTTGATATTTATTTTGTCTCAGCCTGTATGTCACCAAAACACTGTACACATTTCCAATCTTAAGGGTAATTTTCATCATTTGGGAACAGCAAGTGCACTGTAAGTTTCATTGACTGGCTTTGAAGGTCGGTGCAATTGCAGGGTTGTCGTACTGCAATTCTGTCAATTCTCAAATTTGCATTTTTCATAATTTGAATTTAAAAAAATTATTTTTCTTCAGCAATATTAAGAAATATCATTAGCGCTTCAACGTGTATTTATCACAACCTTCTATTTTTGGCCGGTGGTTTTCCACCTACTTGCATCACCCTCTATTTTTATTGTTACAAAAATGAAAACATGTAGTCACTATAAAGATTCAGCTGTGTTCAGACTACTACTGTTCATTGTTTTCAGAAATAAAAGTCAAATGAAAACTGAAAATATACCTTTAATGTGAATAATTAATATTTTCTAATTTGAAAGTAATTCTGCAGAATTCATTGTCCTGCAAGGTGGCTTCTTCTTCATCTATAAATTTTTACTTAAAATCTAACTATTAAATAACTTACACTTACGTTGTCACAACTTGTGGACGAGGTACAGGGGACTTCACAATTTGGTGATCAACAGGAGGTAAAACCTCTGATCTAGTGCATGGGAGGAAGCACAGAAGATAATCTTCACACAGCGAGACATATACTGAATCTGTTGGTTGGGAAGTTGTAGATTTTATAAATGGACTCACCAAATAACTCGCAAAATGAAAAATGTAATATTCAAAAGGATCTAAATATCATTGATATGGAAAATGTGTTGAAATATCCAGAAATACATCAAACTATGTATGATTTTTACAAAAGGGTTGATTAAAAAGTTCAACCCCTAAAGTGGAATCATGTTAAAGCAAGGTATAAAAAGAATCTTGCAGATGAAGACCAAGACAAAGCAAAAAACCCAGAATATGCTAACAAAAATATAAAAACATATTGGAAAATTTACATTACTGATTATATAAAAAAGCAAATTTCAAAACATTTCAAGAAAGAAGTATCATTTTTGTTTGCAAGTATTTTATGATTAAAGCTAGCACAGCCTTTGAAAGTTGAATTTTGGTAGCAAATCAAACAATTCACAAGTGCTGATAAAAAGGATACTCAGTGCCAATGATGTAACCATTTTTGTATGTTGATCAATTTGAATTTTATCAAGATAATACTGAGGAATATCCTCTTCAAACAGTTTCTTCACATTTGGCTGCATAAAAGAGACAACAAATTAGTTAAGTAAATTTGATGCATTTTGTAAACACGAGTAATATTTCTGTGTTTCCAGTTTTAGAAATCATAAATAAGTTGCAATAAGAGATGTAACTTGACCATACTAGGAAATTTGCTGGAGGTCAAGTATACAGAAAATAGATATTTTTCCACTAAATATAAATTAGATTTTTATCATTTATCACAATTTCTGGAAGGTTGGAAGGACTAAATAAATGATTATAAACATGTAAATAAATTAAGCCAAATGAAAATAAATCCACGATTTTGAATTTAAAAACTATTTTGTAATTAAACAGTTTTTTCAAATTATTTTAATTTTATTCCAGGAGTCATCAATCAGAGATCTTCAGAGCAAGTATAGTATGAATTTGTAGGGGTAAAAATACTAATTATGAAAAAATGGATTGATTAATATACTAGAATTTCAATTATGCTCTAAATCTCATCTAGGTTTCTCAATGGTTCTATTCCATGTATATGTGTATAAATATTGACACTTACCGGGAATAAACTTAATGAGAATTCATATTTTAGGTAACAATCTGACATGAGACGGTAGATCAAATTAAACATTGGGCCCTGAGAACTCAGAAAATGTAATACATATTCGTAATCTGTAGGGTAAATCACAGAACTTAAAGAGCACAGATTCCATCCTTGTTGGTTATTAATTCCAAATATATTTTCCAGCAGAATCGGGAACATTGACTGTAGTTCTTTTTGACTGCACTCTGCAATAAGCCGTCGAATTTCTTCGCAACGGCTACATAATGGAAGACCAAAGATGTTTTGCAATCTTATCTAAAATAAAACAAATTTTAATGGTACCTTTTTTTATTTCCGTGGATAATAATACACCTCTAAAAAGATAGCAAACACTTTACCATAACCTCATTCATGATGATTTCAACAGTGAAACAGTACAGAGAAATAAATAAAACTGACGTCTGTATTAAAACTCCAGTAATTCACAAATATTTATTTATTTAACGAGAATATCATCCTGAAATAGCTGCGAGGACACAATGAACACATATTAAGTACGCGAAGTGACGTAAAACACAACCTTGCACATTACATGAAATACCTATGCACGTGCATCGGCACACGCAACAACCTATAACCACCCACTCACACACCACTAAATTCTTGTTAAAGGTTTTCAAAACTGGTTCACTGAATGCATTTGTTCATCAATTTCATTAATGCAGTTGTCAACTGTTCCCTCTGATCAGCTTCTAATGCATTTCCCTTTATCCAGAATATTTCTTTTACGATGGAATTACTTAAGTACACGGAAGAAAATCTTTTTTTCGGAATAATCAATTTTACCACAATTTACATGTTAGTTTCAATTTTGCACAATAATTGTATTCGCAAACGCACAAACCAACTCCTTGTAGACATTTCAAACTAGGCGTCAGAAGGGAATATATTTTTGATGTTGGCAACACTGAACTTTCGAATTGGTTTTTGAAGCGACGACCGCAGAGGCACTGCACAATTTTGTAGTAAAATGACTATCCTTTGGTGGAAAATAACATTGTTTCCACTGTATTTCAAGCAAGACCAACTTAAACAGTAATAGTGTAGTTATTGTTGGTTTTATTTCTAGGGTAACTAGGATACTTAATGAAATGCAGTGGCGGCTCCTTGGGATAGGCAAGTTAGGCACTGCCTACCCTGAAGAATATGAACTAGTTTAATACATTTCATAATAATAACAAATTAAATGACTCTTACAATATTAATATGGTGTATTATTCATCTGGAAATGTATAATACTGTGATAGGTTATCACAAAGGTAAAGGAATGTGAGCAGAATGATACATTATAAAAGTAAATATGAACATTAATAATAATAATAATAATAATAATAATAATAATAATAATAATAATAATAATAATAATAATAATAATAATATATTTGTCACATAAATACAGCATATGCCATACATAACAAGTCAGATTATGTGTATAATCATACAATACACAATACAGATATTTCTAAAAATTAAATACAAGACATAAATTAAAATTTTAATAGTAAGTAACAATGGAGGACAGAAAATAAACAAAGGAGTGAAACATGTAAAGATAATGCAAGGGAATATGAACATAAACAACAGCGAGAAAAATAGAAAATGTTTTGATAAGTGATATAACGTAAGGACACGTGAGCAAATTCCATGTGTATGGGGGAAATCGATTGGTGAAAATGATTACATGACTAATCAGAAAATGTATAGTGTTACAGTGATCGACTGACATGCGCTGAAGAAGGAAGAAGAGAAGCGTTTGATTATCTAGTTCGCGCAGGTCGCTGGGACAAATGAACGGCACGTAGAATAAACAAACGGGGCAGACGATACTTGGACCCGGTAGCGATCGGATGCGAGGACGAGAATTCCGATGTTGCAAAGTTACAAGCCATAAGCGTAAGATATAATTTTCATGAGCTAGTTTGGAACGCGGTGATAAAGTAATGAATTTGTAAAGACGTTATGATAAGTATTTGTTAAGAAAAGTCCAGAGTTAATATGAAAATATAAATGAGTATAGAATGTGGACTAATTAGTGTAGACAAACACAACTAAATAGGAATGGAACAAACCAGGGACGATGGTAAAAAAATGCAGCTATTCTACGAAAAAGAAGTAAATCAATGGGGAACATTTTGTTTAATTTCACTTGTGTAGGAAGATCAAGTTCTGTCCTAAAAATAAGATTTAATGTAATATTCAAAGAGGTAGGTGGTTATACATGCATTAAGAGAGGGAAGACAAAAGCATCATATAATACAAGTAACCATGAGGAATCCAGTGATGTCATGCTGATATTTGTTTAGAATTAGGACTTTGTATGCGTATATGTTTCTTATAGAATACACCATTATCTGTTCTTCCACAATATTATTATTATTATTATTATTATTATTATTATTATTATTATTATTATTATTATTATTATTAATAATGTGTAACATCAAGGAGTACCCTTAATCCCATGAAGAACAAGGTAAACAATGGCGTACGTAAATACTTCACCGCCGAGATCCTGTATACACGACCTATCGGACCCACTAAATAAACGTCATGACTAGACCACTTTCATACCACCGGTGGGCCACAGTTGTGTAAATATTTGAATTTTTCCAAGATAAGAGTAATTGTTGAATAGTTTTGAGATGTATCGTTCGTATGTTTCAAGTGTTAGCTGAAGTGTTGGAAGGGCAGAAGATGTAATATCAGGTTGGATTTATATCAAAGCAAAATAGGGGCCGTTATCCATGGAAGACCTGCGCCACCGAAAAAACTCATGGAATATTCGATAAAAGTGCCGCAAAAATATACCTGTAAAAACTGCTAACGGTATAGTCATCTGAACATTGTCCACTAAAAAGTTGGTATTTAAAACTGAACTAAAAATTATTGTTTTTAGCCAATCCGGAGATTTTTTAGGATGGGGCCCTAGCAGTATTTGAATCCGTCCCAGTGTTATTATTCTTGTTATAATCTATCCCAGTGCTATTATAATTATGGTTATTACATCCCAGTTCTATTATAATTTTTATTATCTGTCCCAGTGCTATTATAATTATAGTTAATACCCAAGCGTTACCAATAATTCGAAAACGTGTGTGCTGTAGAAGTACCACTGGTCTTAAAATAGTTTTCTTATTTCAGAAATGTAAATATCAATGCAGGAGTAGAGCGGGTCGAACTGTGATGTACGCGCCGGACAATTAAACTGCGCGCGCCAGCATTCCAGGCAGCCAACAAAAGGGCGCAGCATTTACGCCTCGTCTGGCTGCCCAAAGAAGAAGTCGCCCGGCAGGCCCCTCATTGGCCAGCCTTGCCTTTATAAATTCCAGCAAGCGGAGCAGCCGGCGCTCAGTCAATTTTTGTACTCTATTCTTCGATTTTTTTAAAGTGGCAAATGTCATTAGGTCATTGTTTTACCTCCTGCCTTATTAATTGAATCTTTTTAACAGTGGTAAGCACATTTCTGAGGCCATGAGCCCCGTTGAGAAGGACGTTCGCCGACAAATTAAAGAGATTCGTTTTATAAGGCAATAGATGTAACAATGACTAATGCCATCTGCCACTTCAAAAAAGATGAAGTATAGAGTCGGCCGTGAGTCTGCGAGTGAGTATTTTTATTGGCAAATGAAGTATTGTACAGTTTGAGTGTTAGAAGTCAGTAGAAGTTTCTGTTATCAATTGTTCTTTTTTCTTTTACCAGGGCAATGAAAATAGTTGTATCGAATAGTTGTACAATGAAATACAACAATGAATGTATCTGCAATTATCAGTCTTGAGGAAACATGTGTGGAACAGAAAGCTAACGTGAAGAATAATAGTTTTTAGCAGACATAGCCGTGGGCATCCTGAAACAAGAGGGGGTGCTACATTTCTGATACCCTTTTCTTTTGACCTTTATTTACGTACACCGTATATAACTTAATAAATCAATAAAACATACCACAAGGAAAATGAAGTTATAATTTTAATGATAAAATAAATACAATTGAGGCATTCAGTCAGACAGTAAGGAAACCCACAAAATTTAAAACACAGATTTATTGGCAAATTGAAGATGACTTCAGTTATTTAATTACGTCAACAATGCCTCATCAGCATTCTGTCAATTTATGAGCGCAAATCTAGAGCACCGAACGAACTAGAATACAGTATATTCTAGCTCGTTGAGCGCACCTGATGAACTCTTGTCTAAAACCGACGACGGCGAAGCTATCGAAAGCCGGCCATCTGAATAAATCTACTAAGTTGACGAAGATGAATTCAGTTATTTCCCCATTTAAATACGAAAACAACGCCTCGTCCGCATGCCGTCAATCAGGGACGGATCCAGAGGCGAATTATTGGAGGGGAAATTCAAAATGTTTGGGTCGAATGTGTCATATTACAGATTTTGTAAAATGACGCAGGCTACACGCAGCTCATGCTGCGACACTTATTTTATTCGTTTTATCGATTACGCCTATCCGAAAATATTTTTGCTTGAAAGTTTCGTAACAAGTAAAAATTAATAGTTACTGAAAAAATTTAGCGGGGGAAATTTCCCTTTTTCCCTGAACTCTCTCTTATCTACAGACAGTGATGGCGAAGCCGTCGATAGTCGGCTATCTAAATAAATCTAGTAAGTTGACAATGATTTCAGTTATGTCATCATTTACGTCAATAACACCTCATCATCATTCCTTAAATGCATAAATTCAAAATGTTCATAATCAAATGTATTAAAAAATCAAATATTGAACTTTGTGGGTTAGCACCTTTGCTCACTAAATGACCCAATTGATTTTATGTTAAACCATTTGCATGGCGGTCAGATGTCTTGGAGAGCATCTCAAAATGTAGAGCGATTTCGCAAATAGTCTGGTTTAAAGGGGAAAACAAGAATTAAACGTATTTAAAGATTAACTAAATTTTAACTATTTTATAAGTCTATTGACTCCTTTTCGAAACCCTCAGTAGGCACAGACCTTGGTCCCGCTGTGCACACGCCTGTGCTTGCTGTCACGAAGATCACAGTAAAAACGGCAGTGCGTTTGTCAATATCCATTAGCGGGTAAATGAAACTTTCCAGAAATTCGCAAAAAGTAAAAATACCTTTCTGGCATAAGAAATCCTCTTGTTTACTATTCTCCCAAAATTCGTATTATTACAATGTTCCCCAAGGTTCGATTTTTGACGCATTATGAATTATCATATGGATTTAGTTATGAAAATTATACCGACTGATATTTTATAAAAATTCGAGTTAGCACCTTTCTAAACTCCTGGTCTGATGTTCGGCCATGAAAAAATGTATAGGGTCATTCTGACTTATTTATAAACAAAAGCCTGAATACATTGACTGAAATTTTAAAATTTTAAAAACATTTTAAAATATGGAACTTGCTACAAAATGTGAAGATCCTTTAATTACAACAATGTTCTATTTGATGACTATGATATTTTATTTTAATGGATTAATTCTTTGTTTTCTGATGTTTTAATGTATTTAAAATATTATTAAAAAGGCATTTAAGTCACAGAAATGTTTCCTTAAAATTTTATCACATGTATAGGCAGTACTTGATTTATAAAAGTTGCCGTAACCGGCCCAAATTGATTTTTAATTTAATAATATTATTCCCGATGTACCGGAACGCCTTTCCATCGCATTCCGCCAGAAATCAAGCCCTGAGTATAGGTATTTTTACAGAAAATTATTAATTTTGTTCATTCAGTGTTAATAATAATTTAAATTGAAGTCACAAGAAATACTCAAAGTGAACCTTTAAAAATATTCCTGTCAACAACCCATAATAATGCCCCTACAAAGTAGTCATAGTGAAACTTAACTTACCATGTCTATCATCAATAACCACAAGAACGTTATAATTCTTCACATTAAATCTGAAACGCTCTGTACATATAGGAAACCGATTTCATTACAGAAAGTGAATTGAGATAAAGTCAATTTTATATTGAATTCCAGCTGATGCCCAACTGTTTTATACAGATTTGATTAGAGTTGAAAGTTTGTTGATGGATGTAGTATGGGTTTGGATTTTGCTACAGACATCAGGATGTGGTAAACTAATGTAATATTTTGTGTTTTCTCAATAACTGAACTTTTTTGAACATCTTTATTCTTTAATTCCACTTTGCATATTGTACCTTAAGAAATCTCTTTAAAAGCATAAGGAAACTAACTGCAATTTTCATTCCTCATACCCACCTATAAATCAAATATTTCATTTTATGGACTTCACTTTTGACCAGAAAAATGCATTAGAAGAAAATTTACATGTGTTACATCACCTCAAATTCAATTGCAGTTTTTTTTCAGTTTGGGTGAAATGTTATTTAATTCTATATCATATAATCAGGTCTGTTGCAAATATCGTAAAGAATTTTATGGTCAATGATTTCCATCTCAGTGTTTTCATTCATCTTCTTATAATCCTTTAAGAAAATGTTTAATAGATAAAATGTTAAGTAAATAAAATGTGCTTTCTAGTTTGAATCTAGGCAGAAAAAGTGTTAATGTGTTCGTGAAAGTAAGACTTTATGAATTAATTACCTAAGAACGTGTCAAATGTATTTTCAATATTTATAGTTGCAAAGTAGAGAAAGAAAGAAAGAAACAAACAAACATTTTGAGTAAAAGAAAAAAATAATTATTTTATGATGAATGTCCTTTTTACAACTTTAATTTTTTAAAATTTTTTTTAACAAGGAATATATTTTATATTGTGTTATTGTCTAATCCTAATCTTCTTTATCAAAAGCTCTCCTAAAAACAATTATTAAAAAATATTAATGGAGGAGGTATTAATAATGTTAGAATAATCAGATGTAAGATCATAAATAGGAACATTTATTTTTAAATTTACAAACTTAATTCATCTATTTTTAATTTCTTATAATGTATTTTAGAAATTCACAACTGGGAATATCACATATTTTAATGTAAATGACATGATTGTGGCTCACAGATATTCACAGTCTTTGCAGTCAAAGCTTTTGACAACAATCATTACAAACATCAAATATTAGTTCAATTATTTTTCTTGTCACTGATTAAATGGACGGTTTTCACAAGAAAATCCGCAAATGAGTCACAACCTTCAACAAATTACAACAAATATTATGAAATATTATCACATGTTAGGTTTTAACACTATATTTTCACAAATTTATCAAATATCTTAACCACAGGACAATAAATAATCTATTCTATTCATTCAGAGTTACATTCTCACTTTAAAATCATTACAATTCTCTTTCAGAACAAACATTTGATCAATATTTACAACATACAATTGTATTAAAAGTAATGAGTATCAAAATACCCATTAAATCACAGCTTTTGAAATCATTGCTAGAGAAAGAGCAGTAGGAATCATAAAACAAAATTGGTAAGAAAATTTATTTCTTTTTCTACTGCTCTTCTCCCTGTGTCATGTTATGTTAATAGGTAAATCGTCCTGAGTCTGCAGTTCCACTGTGAAGTCCCACTGCTGCGACAATGCACTGCGTCTGCATTCTGCCATCAGAACTTCACTACCCAAACCACTCTCCAGACAGAATCCATTTGACAGCAAAACAAGAGCTCTTCCATGTCGACTCCACTTTTGCTGGAAGGAAATAGACCAAGTATCATTAGAACACAAGAGTGACTAATTATGTTAAGAAAAGTGAAATGAAATATTTACTTTGCAATGATTTCAGAGAAGTTTATGGAAAATATACCCTATTCTTGTTCTATATACCCTATTCTATAGTTCAAGTGAAATGTTACTAATTCCTTAATTTCTCTGTTTTTAACTTTATAACATCATGATGATGAAATAGCATATACATTCATGTTTTCAGCTTATTAAAAAGACTTTTTAAGGGCATATTTAATCATTACATTCTTTCATCTGGTAGGAATAGTTTTTGAAATCTTAGTCAGTTTCCTATTACTTCTCTGTCCACAATGGTAAGATGAGTGAAAATATTAGAAGCAATGAACTCTATTTAATTTTTTAAATATAAAACTTGCAAATGGTTACTACTGGCCTATCTGTCTCTAACAACTTACCTGCTGGCTGTGCTGTCGACAAGTCTGAAGCACTGGAACTTTGCTTGATCTAGGAACTGTGAGACATAACTTGTTGAGGTGAATGGCAGAGGTATGGGCACTAAATGCCCAAGAGCTTTGAGAACCTACTGAGTCAGTACATTGGGCCATTTTGACTTTGCCTCCCCCTCCTTCTTCTGCCTGCAGGCACAAGGAACCTTGCTTGAGCTGCCCAAATGCTGAATTCTCTTCGTTAGGTAGCCTAAAACATTGCAATGTAAGTTACAAGAAAGTAAGCAGCAATGTTGTACTTGCATACAAAATATTCTCTGAATATAATTTGAAATTAACATTATTACTCACTTGAGTTCTGGGAAAACATTTTCCAAATACCACTGGAATGGTTTGCAGTTCAACTGTTCTTTTATTTTCAGTTGATTGTCTAAACTGAAATTAAAATTAAATAACCTATAAGAAGTTATGTTATCTCCAATATTTTCTAGAGTTTTTTTTGCACTAACCTGCCAACATCAATTTCGGTGGCACTGGGTCTTGCTTCATAAAAGAATCTCTTGTGATCATCAAGCCATACTTCAGCAATTCTTTTTGTGTTTCTGTTAATGAACATGTATTACAACAGATACATTCATCTATAGTTTCATCTATTTGAAACAACATCCCAGAAGTACTTACCTGAGGTACGTGTTGGCATTACCTTCAGGAAAAGAATAAGGATGCTTTTTACGAAAGACATGACCTACACGACTACATGGCACCACTTCCAACCTCCCACCACACAACCACACCTTAATGGAAACCTCTGTTGAGATGAAATTAATACATACAGATAAAAAATGTTAAATGGTTTTCTTTAACATCGTAATTACAGAGTATGTTTCTATTAAATATTCATGAAATAATGTTACTACTATAACGTCATCATTACTGTGGGTGCTTACCTAGATTCTCAGCTCCCCAAATTTCTAATCCCTGATCAAACATTCCCAACTGTTGAAACCATTCACGCTGTATTAAAAATAATCCTCCAGCCATAACAGGACTTCTGCAAAGAATTTTAACATATTTTTTATATTATAATTTTAACTATAAATTCATCAACAATATAATTAGAATAAACTTACAAGAAAGGTTCAGTAGGATCACTTCTCTTTGCTTTTTCACTGGAACTTAAAGGTATCCATTTAAAATGAAGGCTCCAGTCAAATCCTATAATAATCACATTGATTTAAACAAAATGTATTAAGGAGAATATAATAGACTTAATCCTCTACCATAACATTTAACTTGACATTCTCCAAAAGTGTTATTTTGTAATATGATTCTAGGGAATGTTTATTATGAAAAAGTGAATGTAATTATATAGGTCTATGTGTATATTCTATAAAACCTTTTGAACCACTGGAGCAATTGCTTCCAAATTTTGCACAAATACTTTCAAGCGGTTAAAAAACAAATACAGTGAAACCTATCTAAAGCGGTCATCATTGTTTCCGGGGGAAAATGGCCATTGGACACGTCCTAACGACGTTTGGGAAACGGGCATAAAGGAAATGGATATAAATGGACAAGGATCTAATTAAGCTTTTTGCAATGAAGTTAGATATATGTACTCTAAATATATTGTAATGCCTGCCCCGCGATGGACATGCCAATTTGCAATGAGCCTTATATCGTTCCAATTCATCAACTTACTTTATCTCAACTAATTTTATCATTCCCTGAACTGGATAACCATTTGTAACGTTTTATATTTTTTTAAAATTTAATTTGCCTTGCTATGCTCGTGGTTCAATTGCTCTAATAATTGATAATATGGCTAACTGTATTTTTCTATTAGGATCTTGCACGAGTTTGACGTACAAAATACATCTTCCCTGATGGACGTGGATGTGGGATTGTAGAGAAATCACGATTCCTGGAACTTCTGTGGAATTTACTACCTACTGAGTTGATGGCAATTGAACAAAATATGACTTTTCTTTTCAAACAACAAATAACATGGAACATTCTAGTAACATGTCTCGAGCTCGTTATTAATACATGATTTTATGGACTTTAAACATTATTCAACCATAAAGCTTCGATAAAGTTCTTAAGTTTACGGAATGTCTTCTCGGTTGACATAATGCCGCCGTCTGCTCCAAAGGTGATGTCCTAAGTCCTCCTGTGATGTTGTTTATGAGCCTACTGTCCGTGAAAACTTTGAATGTTACCCAACTATTGCAAATTATACAGTCTGCTATTCGGAAAATCCTTACATCTGCTCTAATATTATCGCTCGCTCTAATATTATATAGATTTCCGTCACTAGGCTTCGAGTGAAACCTCTATTCGCGACTACTATTTCCTTAAAATTAATAATTTATAATTTCCACTACGGAAGTAGCATATAAATCTATGAACACTTAAGTCTAATTTTTTTTAAAAGCAACATTCATACACGACAACAAATGTAACTATTATTAAAGCAATGCAACTAATTACCCACTTAAAATTCAAATAAATGAAACTGCTTAGCCTACACTATTATGGATTAACCAACCAAACATTTACCCGCAACATAAATCTATTATTGCAAAATTACAATTTCATAATGTTCATACCACGTGAGAGTGATAATCTTGCATGAGAATTCATTTCTTTTTGCTAAAGATAAATTTTCTACGCCCTCCCCTAATCAAGTTCATGTTAATGACACTAGGCCGTGCCGTATCTCGACAATACAATTCTCGTCTAGTATCGAGCAAGGCACCTAAATGTTTGTAGTTCGTTGCTAGGTTACGAGTGTTCCTTGGATTTGAACATTCTAGATGCATCCATTACCTTGTATTAAGAAAAGTGAAAAATGTAAACACGATTTGTTATGTTTTTAAAATAATTCTATTAATTCAGAATACCAAGAATTTTGAAGAAAACTGAAACTCACAAAAGTATCAGAAGATCAAACTAGATCTTTAAGCATAATTTGGTGTGCGTAGCTGCATTGAAGTTGAAATAGTCTTTTTGCGAGTAATGTATTGTTTAGTGAAGAAGTGAACGTCCCACTACTGAAAATCTCTTTTACCTCCTTTGAGCTGAGCCGAGGAAGAGCGGTACTGAAAGCTGTCCATGTCGATGACATCGATAACTGGACTAGCTACGAGATAGGGATTCTAAAAAAAAAGTTATTATGTCATTAGTGCACAATAATAATAATAATAATAATAATAATCATAATAATAATCATAATCATAATCATAATCATAATCATAATCATAATCATAATCATAATCATAATCATAATAATAATAATAATAATAATAATAATAATAATAATAATAATAATAATAATAACTATAATAATAAAAATAATAGAATAGCGCACGCATGTGCATTAATTAGCTTTTGCATATTACGTAAGGGATTATGTTCTTTTGAATTCTTAAGTCTTTCCAACAGTTTTCATAAAATCGTACCCTATTGAAAGCTCTCAATTGCTATGATATATACTAAAAATAATGTCCTCAAATTTACAACATTGCCATTATGCGGAAGACAAACCGCCAACTTAAGTTTGTGATCAAATGTTAGCAAAAAGGTTTGTGTTTCTTCCAGAAGGTGCCCACGCCGCCAACAAACGAGGCGGCTCCGCGCGGACCTACCTGGGCGACTCTGTCCAGCAGAGGCTCCAGCCAACCGACGTTCACCTCGCAGTGGCTGTCGAGAAAGACGAGGAAGTCCCCCTGGGCCACCGACGCCCCGCGCACCCGCGACCGGATCAGCCCTGCGTGCACACAGACATCGCGCTGGCATCGCGCTCCCTCTCTCCCTTCAAAGAAGCACTCGTTTTACTTATGTTCTCCGGTTAAAACTATCTTTTAACTTGCAATACTGCAGTACACATACATATGGGCACGCAACCTGTAAGCGTAGAAGATCCTATTTTTATTAACAGAGGAAACCTAGCTCGTCACACCGATACTCACGGCTACACAGGTCCCATTCCAGTCCACCAATCGCTGCAAGTGCGGGGTCATTCGTCGCGTTGCGATGTCCTGGTGGGGAACTGTTACTTTTTTTGGATCAATTTAAACGATTCTGAGAGATTTTAAAAGAAAAGAACACTTGTGAATAGATATTTGTTTCACCTCTAATATTAATAGCTTTTGGAACACCTTCGTTTCCCAACTTGCAGCGAACTTTTTTTTTACGCGATGATGTCAAGTTTTCATTTTTCTTAAGAAATTAATAACTATTGAACGACACACGGCCGATATAACAAATAAAGGATTTGGTTATAAACCTAGGTTTTCGCTATTTTTACAAACTTCAACCATCATTTCTTCTTTATCGGGCAAATGGCGTTAGTGACTATAACCACAGTTTTATCGTTTGCCTATTTTAATAATCAAAATACATAAAGTTAAATAATAATTACTTCATTATTGTAGCTTATAACAGTTTGAGTAATTAGACTTATTATTGTATCACGAATCAAACTTCATAAATAAGCAACTTAAATTTCCATATGTGATGTACTACAGCAAATACGGCAAACATTCGGGGGATTTTTTTTCTTCAATTTGGGCTCAATATCCTTATTTAATGGGAAAGGCTAGATTTAAAGGCGCATTACAGCGACGGAGCACCTGCGGGGAGCGTAGTGCTGGGCTTACCTTCGCGCCGCTCGTTGCGAATCACCTTCACCTTGGGCAGCGCCGCCAGGAGCCCGCCGTCCTGCTCTGCGAGCACCGACATCAAAAGAACAGGAATGTTGAGTTAGTTCACGCTGGACATAGGGTAAAGTCACTTAAAAATTCACACAGAAATTATTTTTCCCGACTCTTTGAAACACATCCATCCGGTTACCCTCTTCATGGACTATGTAGTTGGGAATATATTTGGCATCCCGTGCGTTACGAGTGGTAGAATCATTTGTACAGAGCGGACTCGTTCACTGGCCAGTGAATACGTCAGATAATTTGAGATTTTCATCTATCGGTTTTTCGACTGGTTTCCCTTCATTCGAGGCAACGCTGACTAAGATATTTCCCTGCTTTTTTTTCTAGGCATACATTTTCTTGAGCTCTCTTGGGTATTAAATTCATCAAATAAATCACTGTGCGTGATCTCGCGCTAGAGGACCGATTCCTTTACGTGGGAGACGGAAGAGTCGCCATCTGTATTTCGTTTAGGGATGCAAACAGAATATATTACACCGGAGTCAATATTTATTAATAATATGAATTATGTCACAAACGTTCACTGCTAACTTTATAAATAATTCGATTCAGTATAGTAAAAGAACGCCAATATTAATTATGGATCTCAAGAAAACGAGCGCAGGTTGAACTTCTCCCTCACACATCACAATTATTTTTTAATAGTGTTCATTGACATTAAATAAAGAAATACGTTGTTTTGTACATACTATTTCTCCCTCTTGACCACATTCTTCGTCATTTATTACTAACTACAAGTTGTAAAGTATTCATTTAATTAAGACAATGACAATAACAACAAGAAATGTACATTTTAATTTTAATAAACCTGTCACTTTCTGACTAAATTGTGAAATATTAACTTTTTGTGTTGCAATGAACATAAGCAAGGCGATAAAATATATTGAAATTGTGTAACTTGAAGACAATTAGTTTATCTATTCACTAAGTAATTGAAACGTTTTAATTACGATTATATGGCAAATATATTCCGAATATTCAGCTATTTAGTTAATTATATACAAGAAATGGGAAGGCCCAGGCTCAGATAGATTCAGGATATATTTCCACTTCTTTTTACATTGAAATGAATTGAAAAGAAAGATCACATGTTCATATGCCAGCGAAATGTTTTTATAAGTTTTGATTCGTACCGTTGACGCTGGAGTCGTCGACTAGAATCACCTCAAATAACAGGTCATCAGGAGTCCTGTTTAACACACTGTAACAGAGATCATGTCAACAATCAGAACACGACAAATGCCTACGTTCCTCTGACATGTTAGAATACAGTTTTGATTAATGATTAAATTCCGTTATGAATTTAATCCAGTTAGAAATAAGAAGTAGCCGTTTAATCATATGTACACAATTTCTAAAAAATATCAACATAATAAACCTTAATTATGAATAATGACTCTTTACCTATTGAAACGCGTCATACACAGACTTTCAGCATTAATGTTAAAAAGTTCTAGAGCATTAAAGAGGTTAAAAGTAATAACTTTTTGCCAATAAGCTTATGGTGAAATTTTTTTTACGGTGTCATAAATGCGACATTTCTGACATGGTGCGCCTTATTGTAGGCAACCCACAGAGCCCTGAAGCTTGGCGGGTGTGCGTCTCCACCCCTGCTACCGCCTTGCATCGCTCATCCCCCTCTCCTCTTCCGAAACCACGTGATGAGTCACCAGAATTGTAACGCGACTACCTCGACGCTGCGGTCAGCATTGCACATCATTCTTTCGGTAACTCCCTGTCTACCAGTCGAGTTGTTCTTTCTGTTCAACAGTCATTGTAGATGTATAATATATAATGGTATATGTACATGCAGGAGCATAGAGATATGCTGTTTGGCCGAAACGTGTATTGCAGTTACCACACATGCATCGGACTTCATGGCCGCCACTTCGATCAATTTTCGTTGTGAAAAAGCGGCACCATAAATTCAAAATACTCAATATCGCCAAGGCATTGTCAGTGAGCCGCACCTAACAAGCACTAGGGATGGATGAGTTGTCTACTCATCGGCAAAAAGTGATCATCTTCGCTCCCTTCAAAGCCTAGAACAGGGGCGTCGAAATTGCGAGATTAGTGGCCACAACTAAACCATTTAATATGGCTGAGAACCATAACTTCATTTCCCGGATTTCCCCGTATTGTCGATCTCGGCGCTTTGCTCGGCTGCTCTGAAACGTGGGAGGAGGAATGGGACCATGCGCGATATCAGCATGCTGTTTTTGTGTAATGCAGTGAAACACATTGGGATGACTTTGAATTTTTGAAATTACAGAAAAAATCCTTAAAGCTAAATTTAACCTATTCCTACATTGGGAGGATTAATCCCGACAGGGTGCGTGCGCTATGCCACAATATTCTAGCCCGACATGAAGGAAAGGGATTTTCGCTTTTGACCAATAACATTTTGAGGGCCACAATAAATGACACCGCCGGCCATCAGTTAGACATCCCTGGTCTAGAAGTTTGAAACATTTATTCTGAACTCCCTTCATAGCATAAGTACGAGGATAACTCAAAAGCATCAGCATTTTGGTTCGTAAGAGCATAATTGTCTGTAGACCAACTGTACAGCTTTGTGCGCTTACCAGCCGTAAGATGACACATCACTGTGCATATGATAAGTTTCAACGTAATCATCTAATGTTTGTTTGAGCTGATGTGTCGAAAATACGGCAGCACCACTGTGAGCACAAAGAAAGAAAGAAAGAAAGAAAGAAAGAAAGAAAGAAAGAAAGAAAGAAAGAAAGAAAGAAAGAAAAGAATAGGCTTTCGTAATAGTTCTTTTTGCGTTCTGAATGTGTATCTGAACACTATCAGCAGAATATGGATGCAATATTTTTCCACAGCAAAGGTTTTATCAGTGACCATTCAAAAACAGTCAAACAAGCGTTCAAGGATGAAAAGAGAACAAGATGTCCAGCCTCATCCCATATTGAGCAATTTCGTGTCCTGATTCTGAATAATCGACGAGTGACAATGTTGATTGGAAAGATGCTTGGCCAAAGATTTGCCTCCGATTTACACTTGGCGAAACAGTGCATACATGGACTGCTGCTCAATTGAAAATCCTTTTTGGGAAGAAAGCTTATGTTAAGATGAACTAAGTACATTGAAAAGCTTAGTACCTACGTTGAAAACTGATTGTATGGTAAATTTTGTATTGTTTTATAATCAATTATAAACACTGAGTGCAGATAGTTATTGACTTACCCTCGTATTATTAACCTTAAAAATGCATCTTGAAGTGGCGAATTGCAGTTGTGAAGAGGACATCAATATATGAACGTTTCTAGGTATGAGAAATGAGTGGGAGATACAAATAAAGGGAATCAGATATTCAATTATTGAAAAACAAGTTAGAAGCGACACAAAAAGTTCTCTCGCTCTCTCTAAGACTTGCTTACTTTCTTGATAGATTAAATTTCAGAGAATTAACAAAAAATCATCACATAGGTACCCAGTGGGGATGTCCTTGTTCAGAAACAGGGATATGATAGCTTACAATTAATTCTAATTTATAATTACTTGTAACTTCGAGCCACTATTGATTTTAATTAAAGATAATACTCACCTGTAAAGTGGTAATTCCTCTGAACTGGTAAAATAAATTTTTTAAAAAATGATTGAAAAAAGTTTTACGTGCTACTGAGAAGGACTAGGGGGGGGGGGGCTTAAGGCCCTTTTACACGGTTGAGTTTTCAAGCACACTGGATTTACAGAAATCGTGCAGTCTGCATTTTTTAGCATGAAAAGTTTTAAACCTGTTTTTAAGCAGCTTTTAAACATGTTCGATTGTTATTCATACAGAAAAAATACAGTTTGACTCTAGCGCCTCAAACGGCAGAATCGTTCACAACCGGATATGTTTGCGGAGAGTGTATATTACTGTCAAGTTCAAGTAAGAGCGGCTTCTCCAGCCAAGATTTAAATTTGAGCGTGTTTTCTTTGTTTTGTTTTGTTTTGTTTTGCGCGCCCAGTAACGCCTTTGTAGTCGCAAGCATGTTAGAAGCAGCAATGATGACGGCCTTTATTTTTTCTCTCCGTGTTTTATTAATACATGAAAGAAGTATTGGAAGAGGTGGCTATTGGGCGAGTTCGGAAAGAGCGTGTTCCGACTCAGCTCTTCGGTCCGAAGGGTCGCGGGTTTGAGTCTTGCCTTGATGCCCCTGGCGGCATCTTGTGGCAACTCGTACAGAAAACATGCAGACCGGGTAAACACGACCATTGGCATCTTGTACTTGCAGTTTGGGATCTTGAAGTTTCAGAACAGTTTCTGTATGAGAATCTGCACGAAAACTGTACCGAGTAAGATAGCCTTTAGAAACGTGTTCGAGCCGCTGAGAAGGATCAGAGAAATGAAATGGGTGGGGAAATGAGTGGTTAAGGAGAGTGATTGAGAAAATGAGGAAGTAATGAAAGTAAGGTGTGTCGGAGTATGTTTTTACAAACTGCTAACGGAAATGGGTTAAAAAATAACAAGTGGATAAGCAAAAAAAAAAAATAAAAAATAAAAAAATAAAAAAATAAAAAAAAAGCATGGAAGGAGTTGAATAAAGGGAATAAAGGGTAACGATTTAAAAGTTGTACGTGTGAAGATAGAGCAGAACGGATGCTTCGTTGAGGGTTGACGGGGCGGGGTGCGGGGGCCGTACCTGACGACGGTGCGCAGCAACGCAGAGCGCGCCTCGTTGTGGAAGGTGATGACGACGCTCACCGCCTGGTAGTCGGGCACCGCGTACTCCGCCGTTCGGCACCTGCAGGCAGCACCAGCGCATCTCTCGCATCGGGGCTACCACCCGTCCCGACTCTGTAGGGATCATCCCTACTTTATTACACTGAGTGTCTCAGAATAAATGATACAACTTCTGGGGCATGTACATGGTGTTTAAGATTATAACGTTTTGCCAACAAACATTTGGTGAGATTATAACGTTTTTCCATCGAAAATTTGGTGAGAAGGTTCATATAGTGAAGTTTCGCGTAAGATATTGCCCCTGACTGATAGGCAACTTATCATGCAATGATGTTTGGCGGGAACAAGAAACCACTTGGCGTCCGACTTGACATGACAAACATTTGTGCATGATACGTTGTTGTCAATCACGTCGGGGCATGCCACGTACGTAACATGGGTTTATAAAAGTTTCCACACATGTTCGTTGGAAAATGATCATCAAATCTTTTCGTGCCATAGAAGTTTGTTACATTTTTTATGAGACACGCTATAAATTTCCCCGCATTCTTACATAATTATTGAATGGCCTTTTGTCCTTACTTTTCTGCTTGCATCATGAGTGTGCTTTGCTGTATTTATTATCGAATCTCGAGGTCTGTGTTTAATAACGTATCTAAACTCAGAACGTTAACGCTCCTACATCTTAGGTTTTAGGCGAAAAGGCAATACAATATTAAAAATGAACAGACCAACGGCAATAAAAACTCAAAATCAGAAGAAACATGCACAAATATACCTGTTTCAATATTTTTGTTTCCAAATTTGAGAAAATATTCGTACTTACACAATGGAGAAATTTTGCACTCGTATATGAGATAATATTAATGAATGTATAACCTGCTTCGGCAAATTGCAAACTGATAAAATAATAAAATGATAATTTTAAGGTTGGAATAATTTCAAAAATGTTCTTTAAGATATGAATATCGGAAATCAGGGTTATCAACTTACCCCGGGAGACGCAACTGTTTTGGTTGCATTGCGAATTAAAGCCCAGCGTTCACCCAAGACCCCTGCTTGATGCTTTTCCAATTACACGGATAAGTGCAAAAAAGTGAATTCCAAAATATAGAACGTCACTTACAAATTCCAATGACATCTCCGGTCTAGATAATAATACGGAGATTGGATAGCAGTAGCTACTGCGATTAGTAAAACTGAAGAAAAAAAGAAAAAGCCAAGACTAGGAGATATAGGCAAATTCGAAGAAAAATGCCTTTAAAGATATAAATGTCTTAAAAGGCATTTAGGGGAAAGTAAGAAATATAAAACATAGTCCAAATTGACTTTTTTTCATAATTAGTATACTAGAAGCCTTAAAATACGTTCATTAGAATTAAAGTCATGTCTGCAAACATCCAGTGTCTACCAATTACACCAAAAATTCAAACTAATACATTTAAGAACAAATCTTATGAATGTTTTGTAATCTTGATAGCGAAACAGAATATCAGAAATCATTTTAATGGGAATAGTTTGCCAAGAAGCTTAGAAATATATTATTTTCTCATCGTAAGGAGACATGAAAAATACGTTCGCAAATGTTTGCTTCTTAATCCCCTCTTTAGTAACACTATTCTCCTTCTTAAACAGAAGTACCTTCATTAAAAAAATATTAAAATATAATGTAAGTACAACTGTTCATATTATTTTTGGTTGAACGTTGATTTATATGTTTATATTAATAACATAATGAATGCTATAAAAATTGTGTGAAATAGTTTATTACACTCTTCCCTCGTTCGTATTCCATTTCAGTTATGCGAAAGGTTCTTTCAATGGCTGTAAGTAGTATCAGTACAAACAAGACGTAGTTGGAACTGACTTACAGCTGGAGATACTTCTTCTACCACAACTCTGAGGAGAAAGTTTGCAGAGAAAGTTAATTTACTCAGATAAGAATGATAGTAGAAGAACTGCACAGACGTATTTTAGATAGGAAGCTGGAAGCTGGATAGGAAGTTGGATGGCGGCGCTGTTGCGGAAGGAGCCAGAAACGTTACGCGGATAACGCCTGCTACCTAGGCAACCCTCCCGGGAATGGTGCGTACGTAGATGCCTATGCCAAAACAGTACACCGCCTGCGCCACGCGGCGTATCGACATCGTGATTCACCTACAACACTCGGATGCACTGTGCGGGTAGACACCGTAATACAAATACTAAAATAGCTCGGACATGTCAAACCATCATTCTCGCTAAACCTTTTTCATATAACGTTCGAGCTGATTTACAGCATGATTTACATATTTGCATCTTTAACATTTTGTTCACAGAACGGTTTTTACAAGTTAAATTTCAAAACGATTTTCAGCAGAGAAATTGATCGATTTGAGTTTCGGTTCCGGCCTCCTGACCGAAACCACACCTAGCAAAACAGTGCAGGCTGCTACCTCGGGCAGTTTTACTCGCAGTAATTTCGGTAAGGGAAGAAGCTTCTAATCCTGGAATTCCCCATTGTTTCATTTTGGTTCTACATAGAAATGTGGCCTTTTGGTAATTGTACTTTCGGTTCACAAACCGGAATCGTCGGTCGACATTGCTGCTTGTAATATTCCTTTTCAGTACAATTAAGTTGAAAAACAAAAGATAAAATTATTAAAATATGATAGAATTTTAACACAAGTACAATATTATCTTTTCAAAAACAATTTGTTACCTACATGTACAGAAATGTAGGGTATCAAAAATTGAATTTCAATAGGGTTGTTTTTAGGTTATACTTTGCATTTTCATCTAATTTTTGTAATGTAAGTGATTGTTTTACGTTTCGACAATATTTGTTAATTTCAGATTTTAAAATATATGAAAATCTCATACTCTAATACATCTCTTACATAAGCTGGAATTTCACATTTTACTTGCTGAATAAGTCTATAATATTTGATTTATTGGGAGGGGTCGGAGTCGGGTGCTGGTCGGGCATATGTGGGGCGCGTGTCGGGAGCGGGCAGGGTGCGTTAGAGTGCCGGTGGCGTAAAGGTCAGGCGTTTTTCGGGCAGGAGGCAGGGCAGGTGGCGGTGGAGGGCCAGGGGGCCACGAGGACAGGGGTCAGGAGTAAGGGGGGCAGGCGGGGGGCGGCAGGGGGGTCGTGTCACTGAAGGGCGACTGAGCCCTTGGCTATGGGCGGGCGGGCGCACCTGTGGTGCCTGGTGTCGGGCAGCGGGCGGTCGCTGCGCAGGCGGTCGCTGGCGCGCTCGTTGAAGGCGTGCAGCGCCAGGGCGTCCGCCGTCCGCGTCGTGCGCGTGCGGTCGCGCCCCTGCTGCACGTACACCGCCTCGTGCACCAGCAGCGTCGGGAAGGGCCCCGTCGTCCCCGCCTGCAATACACAAACACACGAGACATACAGGAAAAGCTCACGAGGAGGAAAATAACAACACTAGAATGTAACAACACTATTTGAACAAATGCGTCCGTAGACGTCGCTACTCAATCGCGGATTCGAAAATATTTTCGAATATCAGATAAAAAATTTTTAAATTATTTTTTTGAAAAAAATGATAAATAGTTTCAGAAAATATATATATATAATTGTCACCATCCCGTCACCTTGTTGGACGCAATTACGCTCGGAGAATATATTCCGCAATCATAGAAATCTAAATTGTGACCAATGTGTTACTGAGGAACAATGCATTTTAATAATTAAATTTGTTCAAAGAATAGGTTGCTCCGATCGGGACAACTACTGGAAGGATTGGTTTTCTCGGTAGCTTAGTGGTTAGAGCAGCTGGGCTTAAACCAGAAGGCTGGGGTGCGAGTCCCAGCCAACTCTTTGAACAAATTTAATTAGCTTCAATATATATATATATATATATATATATATATATATATATACATAAATTTAATTGAGAATCAGTAACCTCTTCATGTATCACATGATAAGTAATGCAAAATTCAATAAAATGTATTCAATAGTTCCTGAGGAAATGGGTCACAAAGTAGCTTGTTTCAACATTGATGGGATAGGGTATATCGCCTCACCTGAAGTGGATATACGACTAGGCGGCGAGGAACGGGTGCGGGTAGAGAGGAATAAAGTAATTTGGCATCGATGCGGTCGGTCGTTCAATGCACGTTCACAAACGACACGTCCGATACGTCCTAACACCTTGCGACAGAAGCACTTCTGTTCGCGTACGTCCTCACAAATATCCGACATACACGCTACCTTGTGAAGAACAATTGCGGAGTTGTAGCGAACGCATGCGTGGTATACCAGAAGGCACACTGCACATGCGCACGTTCGCAAAAACTCCGGAATCATTCCCCACATGGAAACAGGTGAATCGGATCTTACAGTGCCGAAGATGAAACCCAAAAGGATGAACAAAGCATATTTTGTACTTTTAATTCCCTTCTTCTTACTCTATATCGAGTTGTTTGGGAACAGGACTCTGATCATAATACAGAAGATGTAGTTGTGTGAACCATAAATAACTAACGTCTGGAAAGCTCGTCTGCAGCGACTAAAAATGAATGACGGAATTTCGCTCCAATTATCCAGAAGATTGATGGTGCTCGCTGAAGCATAAATGCAGTACTGACACTGACAGAAATCGTGGCATCGCGAAAGCGACTGATGGTTTCGGGAGTACCTCACTTGGCGGGAGGCCGCGGGCTAGGAAAGTCTAGTCATTAAGAAAGGGCGCAGATTCTGGTCGGGGTGGTCTCTGAGATCAACCCAACGCTATTCAGTTGAGAACATCCAGATGCTGCGGAAAACACGAGTAATCCGTTACGTTGCAATTCTAATATTGATATTAATGCAATGATTGACCAAAAAATCATCGATTTAAATAAAAAATGTAATTTATTGTAAATTTTACAAAGAATGATTAAAAAGTTAAGGTCAAATAGAAAGAGAACAAACCCAGAAAACTAAAAAGAAAATATTGGAAGGAAGGCGAGGAATTGAAGAATATATTAAAAAAACAACAGTTTGTGCCAGTCAAAGTGCGGGTTGACATTAACCCTTGCAAAAGAGAATGGTATACACTTGCATCATTTTTGAATGATGAAAAAGATCATGCAATTTGTAATTTCTATAAACAGGATAATTATAATATTAAAATGCATATTTATTGGAACTAATTAAATATTTTTCTTGCAAGAGATGGTATTTAAAGGACATAATTGATGTTTGTGAAACAAGAACAATTGTTGCAAACCCCAAAACATTTAATGAGATATTAAAATTTTTCTCATTATTTGCAGAAACAGGCCTTGATATGTACAAAAAAGTATTCTATGAAGATTTAACTGATCCATGGTTTCTGAGTTATTTTATGAAAGTTCCAGTAAAACCATTAATATTCTCAGAAGTGGTTTAATGTGGGGTAGCCCCATTGTCCTACTAAGCTCTTAATTTTTTTTGTCTTTTTTTTCCAAATATCTAAAAACTTTCTTATTATTAATATTTAAAACGTAAATAAAAATCTGACTTAAATAAAAATCAATTTAAATATAAAATCGATTTATTTATTTAAAAAATCATGATTTTTATTAACCATGCAAAAAATTAAATGAAATTTTGAAAAAAATTTTTACAAGACTACAGTACGCTCTTCAATTGTATGGGTCCTAGACCAGAAGCATAGTGCTTAAGATGTCAGTGAGCTTAAACTGGATACAAGGATGCAGTGTCGTAGGAGATGCTATCACAGGCCATAATTGAAACGAGAGAAAAACTCAGCCCGCCAACTAAAATGGAGCAACAGCCCTCGGCGGAGGGAGTGAGAGAGACGGAGAGGGAGAGAGAGAGATGAAATCGCAAAACGAGTCCTGTGAGCGGCGATTGATTTCTTTCGACGACTAAAAAGGGAAGAAAACGACCCTGGAAGCCCTCGCGTGATCGCGAGAGGCGAGCGAAGCTCTATCTCGCAAGAACTCACTCCAGCAAACACGACGAATTTCATTTCGAAGACGACAAAAAAGACGTAACATTATTAAAAAGGGATTGAATCAACGATAGGTGTTTAATGTAATATATTTAGGAAGAAATTCTTTATCTTAAGTGACAATCTCAATCACAATTATGCAAACTACAAACACCTCGTCAGTCTTGGAAATGCAGCGGCTTGCAGGCAGAGATGAGTTTTATTCCATTCCATGAACCAGAACACAGTCTAGAAAAACTATCAACAGCGCTACCTCAAACCATTGTTCTCGAATGAGTTTTGGCCCGGCAAAAGTCCCTTAATATGAAATTCTGCACAGTTTCATTTCGTTCAGACGGTTACAGAGAGAAAAGATGTGTTGTGGAAATTCAGGTCACGGACCGACGTCGGTATGAAAAATCACTCCACATCGCTGTTTGTTATTTAAATTTTTCTGTACTTAAGCTGAATAACAAAGCGTTGAAATGTTTGAAATATAATCGCATTTTCAACAAGAATACAGGCCAAAGGAAACATTATGTTTTCTAAGTATATAAATATGTACGAGTATTTTACAAAAATCTCGTTAAAACAGAGGAATGTTTTATGGTATACTTTGTCTTTTTTGAATTGAAGGAGAATTTTGCATTTTTTCAGGTTTTCAAAGGAATAAAATATTCGTATAAGTGTCCAAGAATTGGGGAAAAAAGACAGCGCCCTATGTGGTAATGGTGGTGGCGGTTTGATTTGCTTATATCACCACATATCCCGGGGAAATGTCATTCCATTCATAACCCATCATAATTATTCGTCCCTCATGATTATCCAACTACCGCTCAGTGTAATGTCATGACAATCCCTCACTGAGTTCACCAGTCCAGAAAATGTGAGAACACAAAAGCGCAAGTGTCCTCTCTCGCCTTAGTTCGGAAATGAGAATAACACTCATATACCAGGGCGAATGCCAGATATTGTATCCTTGTCTAAGGGGGTTTGGTGTCTCCAAAAGCAAAAGTTTCAATTTCTCCTTGCCAGATATACAATTAACGATACCATACGAGTTCATTTATACATTTAACATTCAACATTTAGCATTCAAATTCGGAATCAAATAAAGCAAATTGACAATAAAATATTTCCGAAAGCATTGTCAAGATTCATTGAGATTGCGTTGCGTAAGCGAAGATTATGGTTCCTGTGATCAATTATTCGATTTGCCTTTTCCCCCTGAATTTTTTGAATGTCCCCCTCAGGGGAAAATTTCCAATTCGCACCCTGCGCACATCAAAATGCAATAAACGAATCGTAAGGAAAGAGAGCGGAGACGGACTGAGTAAGTCGAGGGAAGGAAGGAATGCGGGGAACAGGTAGAGGAGGGAACCACAGGAACGAAGGAAACAAAAGAGAAAAGTGGCGATGGAGATGTAAAGGACGAGGGTGAAGCGGAGTGAGCGAGACACGAGGATGGAGGCGATGAAGGAGACGAGATGGGGCGTGAGGGTATCGAAAGGGACGTGGTCGAGAAGAAGGCGAGGGCCGCTTCGGGACGAGGGAGCTGAAGCGGAAGTGGCGCGAGAGGCGAGAAGAGACCGCCGCGTGTGACCGTCTGGCGCTGAGTGGGCAGTGCGCGTGTTTGCACGCCGTCTCACGCACGCACCGCTGCATTCCGGGCCACAGGGCCACGGCGGCGGTGGCGGCGGCGGCGGCGGCGGTGGCGGTGGCGCGCTGTAGCAGGTGGAGAGCCCTCTGAGTGAAAACCTGGACGCAGCTGCGGAGCTCTCGCGGGGCGGAGCGACAACCGCACATCGGAACGCTATGGCTTAGTGACAATACTGTTGCCTCTGCAGCATCGTTAATCGAGTAGATCTAGAGTTCGAACATCGACAGTTGCGGACTTTCGGCACAAGTTACATGGTTGGGTCGAATCCCACCACAATCTGCACGAGAATTCTAGCGGCCGGTTACTCAGATTGATGTAGTTTTCCATGGTTTCTCAAATTATTACCAGGTTAAGGTCGGAGCTGTTCTTTAACAAACGGGCCACGAACCACCACCTTTCCTTTTTATATCTTTGACCACTTCTCTCCCCTTACACACACACATATCCATAAGAACCACATTACCAAACATGACGAATGACAATTCTAGAGATTAGAGCTCGGGGAGGTGGAGAGGGGCGCCCGGTGGGAGCGAATCCCCTCTGGGGGAAATACCTGGAAGTTGATTCTCCGCCGTCGTACATACCGTTGCGGGATTTCACGTCCCAGAGGGTAGGATCGGCGCCACTTTCTTTGATGTAACAAGCACTTTACTTAAGGGATTAATAACCTCAATAGTTGACGCGCTTCGAATCAATGAATACTCGAAAAGCAACCCACGACGGCTCGGCCTTCGCTCTTGCTTCAGCAGTTCCTCAATTGGGAACCCGAAGAACCCCGGT